AATGAGGCTGTAGCATCTTTCAGTTCTCCAAGTGTTCACATATAAACGATCCAACAGCTTATTTTATTTATTCTTTGTATCCTTCAATTCAGGGCCCTGCGATGTAGCTATTATCCGCTAGGTGTCACCATTTCACTGCTAGTTATATTTAGGCCATGTTGTATTTGATTATATGGATGACATCCTCCGGGACGACCCCAAAACTGATGCGCGCGTGCGAAATAAAAAAAGTTTTGACAAAAAAAGTTATTTTCATTATGAAATCTACGTGGTCATGAGGGTTGAGCCAATGGCACAGAATATGGTTTGGCGAATAATCTAGTCTTCAAGTTCATTTCTTTACAATTTCGTTCTTTTTTTGTTTGATTTTGGCAATCTACGACATTGGTATAATTTTTATTAATTTTTTTTGTAACTTATGGTATATTTTTGATCATTTTGCAACTGTTTTGTACGATTTACAGTATGGTTGAAAACTTTTATTTTTTTTAGAAACGGCCGAAAATTCATGCGCGCGCGGATGTCATCCATATAATCAAATCAACATGGCCTAATCTTGTGTTATATCAAATCAGTGAGTGAAATTAGAATGATATCCATAGTCCAATTCATCTCCGTTGCTAACCTTCAACGTTTCCTAACCTGATAGCAAAAACGAGCGGCACTGAACATTGTGAAATCACTGGACAACATTGCTGCCACGCTGTTGGCATTGCAGCCTGGAGACGCTGAGTATCAGGCGACGTTTGGGACTGGAAACGTCGGGGTCACTTTGTCGAGATCACCTGCAAACAGAGAACTGCACCTCGGTAATGGTCGCATTAATGTGACTATTCCACCCACATCAGGTGGAAGTCAAACTAACGACATGCTGGACCTCAAGGTACTTTTTCTCATACTTTTCCCAATGTATCCAGTGATTTGATTTGATTTGATTTGATTTATTAGACTGTATATTAACCAGATAGATATATACAGTCAGGACTGCCCAACTAGCCGGAGGCTATTATAAAGGGCAAGCCCTCACAACAAGAACGTAAACAATTAGTAACAGTTAACAGTGTCGGTTACACTTCAGATAAACACACTATTACATAACAGATGTTGTGGCCTAACGTTAACAAGATATGCAATCTGGCCTAGTCGCCATGCGTTTACTGTAAATACATTGTGTACTATATCAAGATTGTCAGGTTAACGTACTATTACATAACGGATGTTGCGGACTAACGTTAACAAGCTATGAAATCTGGCCTAGTCGCCATGCGTTCCCAGATGTTCACGTTCAAGGTTCAAGGTTCATTATAACCAGCATGTAAGGAAAACAGAAATGTACGAGTACAAACGATTCTATTGTCACCTACACGCCAGATGAGGCCATTTACTGAGCGTGGTTGCAATCAACATAAAATACATAGAATGTGAGGAATTGGTTCATGTGAAAAATGTTCAGCATGAAGGAGAAAGCAATTGTACCTTAGTTTATGAAATGCATTATCCAATGGGTTAACTTTTCTCATTCTATGTTTTTTTTTAGATGTTGGTTTTCAAAAAGAATCCATATTCCTGGACACAATCGACAGGGGGACAAAACATCTCTTCACCTGTTACGGTTCTAACAATGGATGCGAGAGGATCTGGAAAAGGGATAAAAGCTAAGAGAGGCCTCACAGAAGAGAAACAAGTAAAACTGAACATTCCGTTTGCACCACCGTTGCAAGAGGAAATGAGGCTGACAACAGACTCACCACACGGAACTATCCGTACGCCGAGAACAAAGAATCCGGAAAGCAGCATCAACGGAACCAACGGCAACGCCATGACGTACCACCGCTTCAGCGTTCCGGACGGAAACGTCATCCCTGTCCTACACATGAGCTGGTGGGACATAGACGCGACCTTTCACGTGTACTCTTCGTATGGATCCAAGCCTACCGTCGAGGGGTATGCGGAGAAAAGAGTCATTCAGCAGGAAGACGGGTTAGAGGCCTGGCTCTCAGAGACAGACTTCACTTTCTCATATACACGCAACATCACACACCGTGGCGGTGTTCTGTACGTTGGCGTACTAAAGATAGGTAAATTACAGCAATGTCTTATTTGTCGTATATTTAATCTATTTCTCTGATAGCCTTACTCAAAACGTTTGCGTGTGTAATTGGTCTTTTAATGTCGCAAATTGGCCTATAACTCTATCCGATTTAGTATTCAATTTTGTAACAGAATGGTCATGTACATATGAATTGATAATGCTACTGTAAAGGTTTTTCTATTGATTTTATCTTGTGTAGATAATGTTTTTAATGATGTGTTTCAGTCAATTCCTGTTATATCACTTCATCAATTTAACCTTCGGGCTGTTGTGATATAGGTGAATTACGTAATACTAATAAACCATTCTACTTTTCTCAGGCCATGCCGCGGGTTATTCAAAACCAGACCAGGAGAGAAACATGCCCCCCAAGGACGACTCAGACTACAGACTGTGGATGTCAGCTGCTGGCTGTTCTTCTTGGGAGGAAACTACCGAACAATGGGGGCTGGAACAATGCGACGTAAGTTACGTCTAATTTACATATTACAATTCGACGTAAGTTAACTCTAATTTATATATTACAATGCGACGTAAGTTACGTCTAATTTACACATTACAATGCGACGTAAGTTACGTCTAATTTACATATTAAAATCCATCTGACTAAAAACACCATATCCATGTTCCCGCTTTTAGTATCACATACAGCGATTCTAAATACAATTTTGCACTGAAAAGAAAACACTAACTCACTACTTGTACGAGCTACTTGTACGTCTAATTTACATATCACAAAAATAATAGATTACAATCCATCTGACCAAGAAGACCATACCATGTGCCCGCTTTATGTATCACATTAAGCGAATCTAAATACAATTTTGCACTGACAGGAAAACACTAACTCACTACTTGTAAGGGCTACTTGTACGTCTAATTTACATATTACAAAAATGATAGTGTTACATGCTAGAGAAAAGCAAGCCAGTAGGTCTATACCCTCCCCTGGTAAGTAACGGACAAGCCCTAGCAGTGGGATCTAGGACAGAGAAGGCATTCCAGAGGGGTAGGATTTCAGTCTGTCTCAAGGTTCCTGAGAGGTGGGACGTGAGAATAAAGCCTGGCAACTTGCAACCTGAGTCTCCGCTTCTTCAATCGGAAAAGAACACTCAAACAGATAGATTAAATTACATCTGACTAAAAACACCATATCCATGTTCCCGCTTTTAGTATCACATATAGCGATTCTAAATACAACTTTGCACTGAAAAGAAAACACTAACTCACTACTTGTACGAGCTACTTGTACGTCTAATTTACATATTACAAAAATGATAGATTACAATCCATCCAACCAAAAAGACCATACCATGTGCCCGCTTTTTGTATCACATTTAGCGAATCTAAATACAATTTTGCACTGACAGGAAAACACTAACTTACTACTTTTACGGGCTACCTCCAAACCTATTGAGAACGCAAGAAACTTGCCACGTTTTGATTTGATTTGTCTACATTTCATCTCCTAATAAAACAAATAGAAACAAGAAAACATGTGGCCAAGGTAAAATTACGTGCTATAGTTACTGCAGTGATATGTTTCCCCGGTTATAGTTTTCAACAGTTTTCAACAGTTTATTCATAAAAATCAGCCTTGCTTCCGGTACAAAATCAAGCTGAATAACAATGATTTTTTACAGTTATCTACCACATACAAATACAAATTAACATTGCGATACATATACAGCCACACAAACAAACAAAAACATTACAAAAGCCACATAATGTTACATTTGTTATCATTTTTCGAAATATCTCAATATGTATTAGGCTAATCTGGACATACACAACAACGTGTTCCACTGTCAATGTCGCACGGTCGGGTCAAGCATTGCAGTCGGCACCATGACTCTCCCTGTCCCGAACTCCATAGACTTCATCAACGCCTTCAAGAATTTCAGCAAAGTGGGCGAGAACGCCGTGGTGTTCTCTATCGTGGTGTCCGAGTTCATCCTGTACGTCCTTCTCATGGTTCTTCTGTGTGTGGACTTCAACCGTTTAAGGGTAAGTACAGAGTGGGCTTTTTGTACACTTTTTGAGAGGTATTCTTTTTATAGGTTAGTCTCCAACAACGTCGATGAAGGTTAGATATCCAGGTAGTACAATACGCCAAAAAGCGGATACTCAAGCAACTGGATATGATTTTGGAAACGGTCAGACGTTTTAGATAGTATCCACTAGCTTTCGTCAGAGACTGAGAGACCAGAGGAGAAATGCCGGTTTATAAGCACATACTATTGATTGATGTGCAAATAAAGTGAAGACATTTTTTTTTGAAAGTACCTGCATTTCTCCTCTGGTTTCTTAGTCACTGACGAAAGCTTGTGGATACTAGCAGAAACGTCTGACCGTTTTCAAAATCATATCCAGTTGCTTGAGTAACTGCTTTTTGGCGTATAGTCTCCTACAATTTTCGATATTAGCTAATATGTAGAATCAACTATGTACAACTTCCCATTTATGTACATGTTGCCATGCATTGCATTTGCTAAATCTGCCTTAAGGGTAAGTACAGAGTGTGCTTTTTGGAAAAATTTTCGAGTGGTATTCTTTTTATAGGTTAGTCTCCTACAATTTTAGATGTTAGCTATGTGGAATCAACTATGTTGCCATGCATTGCATTTGCTAAAATTGTCTTAAGGATAAGTACAGAGTGTGCTTTTTGTACAATGTTCGAGTGGTGTTCTTTTTATAGGTTAGTCTCCTACAGTTTTAGATGTTAGCTACGTGGAATCAACTACGTTGCCATGCATTGCATTTGCTAAAATTGTCTTCTTCTTCATCTATATATTTTAAGTATTCAATATTTTCTTTACTAACTTTAGTGTAAAACACCTCAGGACCAAAGGAACACGCTGCCCAAAGTCAGTCTGATCCCCCCAGACAGGATGCCTGCTCCTCACGTCTATCAGCTCACGGTCACCACCGGGTCCATGTTCGGGGCTGGGACCACCTCACGGGTCGCCTTCCAACTCTTCGGGTCAGAGGGCACGACTCCTATCAAGATGCTCAACCCAAGAGGGGAGGTAGGCCTTACATGTATTCTCATATTTCTATGCATTTCCCATGCTTGTGCGTTAACTTAGGCCTCGGTCACAACCCGCCGTGCGTGCTTTTTGTCTGTACGTTTTTTTGGGAGGCCACGTTTGCTACGTTTTTTTCTGAAAACGTGGGGAAGGATCCGGAGTGGTGTCGACGCACGTCACTCGCACGGTTTCGCAAGGTGTAAGAGTGTGGTCTGCACGCCACGTCTGGCAGTGAGCGGTTGCGTTCATAGTTTGTTGCGCAATTGATAAGTGAGTTATACGTGCTTGCAACGTACGATCTCTGTGCAATTGCAACTTTACCGTAAGGAGGTCGTACTCACACGTGCTGCTTACGTACGAGGCACGCGCGTCGCCTATACTCGCACGTACGGGTGGTGAATCCGCAGATCGCACGCAGAAAAAGTTTTACATGCACTTAAAGTTCTACGGCGTGTCTGCGTGCTCCCAAATCCGTAGGATTCCGTACGGAGGTGGTACTCACCACGCACGGATGTCCTACGTTTGCCCACGTTTTTGCACGTAGACAGCACGCAGAAGCACGTACGGCGGGTTGTGACCGACGCTTTACGCTCCTATCACACAATCACGACCTTTCACCGAAACTGTTACCGATCACAAGCCGACTAGTGTCTGCTGACGTTCGGGAGGACCAAATTTAGACCACGCCTACCTTTCTATACGAATCTAAATGAATTTGAGTTAGATTGGAGTCAAATCGCCCGCTGAATATGACATGACACAAACACCACTGACATACTTCCGGACGGTTAGCCTGTGTTTTGCTGACTTACGGTGTTTTGCTGATTTTAAAAAAATTGAAACATTTGGCTGGCAACTTTGCGCCCAACCACTCTTTACCATGGTCGGATAGCGTTCGGTAGGCCAAATTCGCGAATGTGTGACCACTGCTTAAGGTAACAGATGTAATTAATTAAGAAAACAGTGATAATTTATTAATGCACGGTTTAGTAAAGAATTCATAAATCCATGTCCAAGTAAATTATTGAGATGTAGGGGTTTTGTTTCATTATTTTCACCAGTGAAAAGGTTTCTAGATCTAGTCAGAAGATATGGTGAAATAATGTTATACGTTTCTGACAAACAATATCACATGTAATAGTGACAATCATTGTTTTTGATTGGATGATTGACTATAGTTAAATAGCTTTGGTTCCTGTATCATTAAAGACTATATGTCACACTTTATGTCAATGCCGGGTGCTCATATCGTAAACATTATCATTAGATTGATGATAGATAAAGTACAAAAAGTATGTTTGTTATTTACCGTAACTTTGTCACGATTACAGGCTTTGGTTCGTGGAAGTACTTTACATTTTATCATGCCTGTGCGAGAGTCACTTGGAGAAGTGCTGTTGTTGCACATCTGGCATGATAACTCTGGGGAAGGCGACACGGCATCCTGGTTCCTCGAAAATTTTCTCGTCAGAGATATAGAAAAGGATGTGGTGTAAGACTTTGAAGACATATTGTATCCCGCCTTCTTTTTGGATCCTAACCTGAACTCACAGTCTTTTGATCAAATTCTACTTCAATCTTATTACTTAGGCATGTTAGATATGCAAACTTTTAAAACGTTAATGTTTGAACAGACATACTGCAGAGCGACTACATTACTATCCTTTGCTTGATATAAGGATACCAATCATCACTCCTCGGGCTGGTAAAAATGTTGCATGATGTTGCAGAAAAACATGAAATCGGAGACTTTAGACTTCCGGAAAGTGTTTGAGGTTTGGGACTACTCAAGACATACGATTGATTGACGTACTACGTACACCAGTATCACACCATGGTTTCATACCAAGATTACACAGTACATATTCCTAGAGACCTCATGTCATATTCTACCACCAAGAGCATGCCGGGTCACAACCTTGTCAATCAAATGGAACTCAATCTTCACCCACCCACTTCCAATCCTCTGTACGCAGGACACGATACATACAAACTCCCCTTAAACCAATTCCGTTATACCAACGGAAAATTATGTAATTGCTTAACAGGTCTTACTTCTGCTGCCATGACTGGTTGGCTGAAGATAAAGGTGACGGAGAGGTACAGAGGGTGGTTCACGAAACTCCCAAGGAGGAACTGTCATCCTTCAGTAACGTCTTTACTGAAGCAACCAGCAACCTGTTCTACGATCAACAGCTGTGGACGTCTGTCATTGCAACTTCACCAGGTCAGTGTTTCTGTCTTGAAAACTTCGTGATCCTTAGAGAAAAGGTGGACACTAGACAATGCAAATAGCTTTTTTTACCTCCGGGAAAATGGAAGTATTGTTTTTGGTCTATCTTTGTGTACGCCTGTGTGTGTGTCAGTGTTTCCACATATTTGTGATTGGCATAACGTAAGAGGGCTTTTGTGATACTCTCCAAGCAGAGGTGGGGGAATAATCGTTACCTTTTTATATATGGTCGTTTTTTTGTCGTCGGTGGCCGCGGACCTTCTCTGGCTAATGGATACTGCCTGGCCAATTTGATACTGTTGCCACCGATAGGGATTTGCTTGGAGATTACTTCTTGGATTGTGATGGTATTTATTGTATTTGTACTTCATAAGGCTACACAATGCAACGTTTTACTGAACCCTGAAAGTGATCAAATGACTGGAAAGGGTTCTGCTGAGGTTTGTTTGCAAGCAGAAACATCACAATTAACCATCATATGTTTCATACCATGATTACACCCTACACACATTTCTTGTGACCTCGAACTGCATCCTACCACTCAGAGCATACTGGGGCACAACCCTGTAAATCAACTGAATCTTACTCACTCACTCACTCACTCACTCACTCACTGGGTCGAGCTTCCCTCGGTTCCAATGACAGCTCTCCATCTCTTCCTATCCTTCATGTATTCATTTCTACCATCAGGTTTTTCCTGTCGAGCTGGGTGTCGTCCATTAATTGGTTAATATAGTTTCTTGCTGGAAGACTTCTTTTTCCATGTGAGGGATCCCATAGTAATAACTGGTTTATGATTTTATTCTAACTTCTGTAGCAGTGTCCGAGGAATTTCGACCTTCGTTTTCTTATTGTTTCGCTCACTGTGGGTAGATTTTCATATAGTACACCATTCGGTATCTTTTGGTACCAGTGTACATTTTTGTTCCCATTTTCCTAGTTATAACTGAATCTTAAACTTCTATATGTTTCTCCACGGAAAATGAATAATTTGACTTCCTGATGTTGTTATGTATGTTTGTTCCTGAGTAGGTTCCAGCTTTACCCAGGCCCAGCGTCTGTCCTGCTGCTTCACTCTGCTGAACACCATGATGCTGGCCAGCGCCATGTGGTACCAGACAGATGACACAACTGACGACACACGAGTGTACAACCTGGGGGTCGCTCGCTTCACAGCAGAGGTAACAAGATTATGATACTATCATGAAAGTTCATCTGTGTTGGTAGTTATATGTTTAAAGTTAAAACTTTTGGTCCAACACAAAAAATTCTCTTACCTAGAGCTTTCGACCAGTCACTCTGGTCTTCCTCAGTAGACTGACCCAGTGAAGCTTATCACGTGGCTTCTTTGAACTATAATACTTTATTTCACTTGACACTGTAATGATTTTGGACACTGAACAAGACTATTTCTTGAGAGGCGTGAAGGAAGCCATATACATCAGAGCTCATCACCCTTCATTGAACCGCGACGGGGGTCGACATCGTCTACCAGATACCTTTGACCCAGTGTTGACGTCACACTTCAAAGACGCCAGGTGACAAGCTTCACTGGGTCAGTCTACTGAGGAAGATCAGAGTGACTGGTCGAAAGCTCTAAATGAGAGAACTTTTTTGTGTTGGACCAAAAGTTTTAACTTTAAACAAGATTATGATATTTAAGCTAGCCACTACTGTGTAGGGCAATACCTTATATATGTTTGTAGTTAGATTTGTATGTTTTCTTATCATCTCTTCATTTTTTATCGTCGCCGGTCTTCCCTCCTATATATATTTCAACAGGAGCTGTACACCAGCCTCATGACTGCCTTGACTGTGGCTCCTGTCAACACGATGATCGTCCAACTATTCCGCATGGAGGCGCCACTGTCTGCTAACGGTCCGGAGATGTCGATCCGAAACACCTCCTGGCAAGGTAACTATGAACATGGGAACAAAAGTCAAGTAAAACTGGAACATAATGATTGCAATTATGGCAAACTAGGAAAAGGCGTAGAGATTTTGAGTTACCACTGACGTTTCATGTGCCACTTGCAAAGAGATGAAAGTGATAAGCTCGTGATGCATTGCTTTTCATTTGAACAGAAGATGTACCTATACAGCAATGGAGCAAGGACGGTTACAACTTCCTCCACAAAAGCTAAAAAAATCAACTGTCAATATAGCCTACACCCTGCCTTCCTACGGGAATATGGATCGTAGCATCTGGCCAGGCGAGTCAGTCCGGGAATGGTTGATTCTTTCCCTCTGCGCGACCAAGGCGGCCAAGCTCCCCTGGCAAATATTCTCCCTATAAGGCCATAGCAAGTAATTTTCATGGATGACATCATCAGGGCGCGCATTAATTCTTGTCTGAATTTGGAAAAAAAAAAAGAAATTTTGTTGCCCTCTGACAATGTTCAATGTACCAAAATGGGCAAAGATGTCTGTTGCCATGCCGGAAGGTGGATGGCAGATAACTATGAAGAGAGGAGACAAGAAAAGGCTCTGATTTAATGTTTTGTTTCTTACTTTGATGCAGTGATATGTGATTCTGGCTGTGTGTATGTGATGTTCCCGCTGAATCAAGACCATTTGTACAATGATTGAGTCAATATTCTAAGTTGTAGGAACCTTGTTTTCTTCGGCCTGCCTTTTTGTCACCCGCTCGCATTATTAGATTTGGAGTCTGCGGAGGATGTCATCCATAAAATTCACTTGCTTTGGTCTAATGTACAGCCAGCGTAGTTAGTCTGGTAGAGACTGGTCTCGTATGTCGGACGACACGGGAGCCCCTAAGCCTAAGTTCAAGTCTGGTTTGAATTTCAGGACGTCTGAAGACAAGTCTGCACCGCTGGGCTCAGTACGTGGCGTGGCTGACCGTGTTCCTGGTGTCCACCAGCTCTGCGTTCTTCGTCCTCCTGTACAGTATGGACTGGGGGAAGGAGAAGAGCGACTCCTGGATGAAGGCCTTCATCCTCTCCTTCATGGGGTCCAGTTGTGTGATGGACACTCTTCAGGTATCTGTATCTGTATAGCCGGTATAACCACCTTTCGGCGTAACACACCAGCTTCTGTATCTGTATAGCCGGTATAACCACCTTTCGGCGTAACACACCAGCTTCTGTATCTGTATAGCCGGTATAACCACCTTTCGGCGTAACACACCAGCTTCTGTATCTGCATAGCTGGTATAACCACCTTTCGGCGTAACACACCAACGTCGCAGGCACGCGGCGCGGCGGCAGCTGACTACATTACACCGATCGACTTGTTACACCTAACCCTTGAACATCTAACTCTAGACTTTGTTTAAAGGTTAGTTTCACTCGGCGATAGTTCTAGGAAAGAATGAATTCTTGAACACCTCAATCCTTGGTTGATACCCTGGTACTTGAAGGCATGGCTATTTCATGTTCTCTTCTGGGCTGGTATTAGGTACGTAGTAATCGGGACGTCCACCAGCTTATTAGTCATTTTGTACATCATGCATAGTCTGAACATAGGTAATGATACTAATATCTACCCACCCAGGATGCCAGACTTCCGTCCGTGGGGCCGGCAGTGAGATTGTTCGGCAATCAAACGCAGATACCCCCGGCGAGTTAGATGAGCGCTCCGGGGAGTAGTAGGCTAAGGAGATTTCAGCCAGCCAGGGAGATTAGGCCGATCATCGGAGCCCTTATCTAGCTCGGCGGGCAAAACTGCTTTTGGCTGCCGAGCAAACTCGCTGCCGTCCCGTTAGTGTCTGGTGTCCAACCCTGTCCAGCTTTTTATTTCTACAATTTATCCCAATTCTACTAAACTTACAGACAAAGAAAAAAAGCATTCTTTTAACTTCCCAAAACCCACTAATTTTGGAAAAGGTGGGACAATACGTCTTCCATTGTTAAAAAAAAAAGAGAAGTCAACCCCCTTAGACATAGCTATAGCTGTAGACAGCTACCTTTCATCATGTAGATTTTATTTATTTTATAGGCTGTTTCATTGTTCCTTTATGTTGTAATTTGCAACTAGCCTCCGGGCACGAATTTGCAATAAACTTCTCTTATATCCGCCTACATTTGTCAATATCTATGTACATTTGCTTCATTCCAAAGTGGAGACCAAATCATCTATAGATGAAAATAATGTTAAATTTATACTCATATTCATAATATTTTGTATCCTTAAATGTCGGACAGATTAGTGTTGTAGTAAGTTACGTTGTCATACATTATGTACGGTTCCTAAATAATAAAGGTCTTTAATTCCTACCTACCCCCCTCCCCGCCATGTCAGATCGTCGTGCTCGCTGCCGTGCTGTCTGCCGTCTGTAGTCTACCGTTCCTCGCCAGGCCACCCGGTATAAGGAAGGAAGATCTAAAACTCAACCTGTGGAACTCTGCAGGTGAGAATTCCACCATTGTTCTTCTTCATTACTGCCCAGCCCTACAGCGTATGATTATTGGAAGCCATTGCGCTTACAATTGTGACCCGGTACATAAAAAAAAAGGGGGGGGGGAAGGATTACCGAGAAGGGAACATAAAACAATTGATTTTACGTGTGCTAAAGACGGGACAAGTGCATTAGTGCGTTAGTAATATTTACATATATACAAGACATGATGGGGTGGCTCAATGCAGCAGGGTCCTCTCCAGTTCAGATTTGAACTGGGCGAGAGACCCCGCCTCCGCCACACCAGGCTCAAGTTCATTCCATTCCCTGATGGTGCGGGGGAAGAACGAGAGCCTGTAGAAGTTGTTTCTGCAGTTGTTGGAGCAGGTAATGTTTGAGCCTTTCTTATTCACAAAATCACGACAAAAGACATGTACACAAATTGGACTGCTGGCCGCTTTTTATTGAGATGATGAGGTCATGAATGAAGAGGTCAGGGTAATGAGACAAAATAAAGAAAGATACAGGTTAGTAGTAATAGCAGGATATCAGATGTTGGCAAATTTATGCAAGGATTTTAGTAAATGATTTAGTACATGAGCGTCATTAAGCATTTTAATTTATCCATATTTAAATATAATTCATATTTAAAAATATTCATGACTATTAAATGATGTATCCATAACTAATAAATGATGCATTCACAACTAGAAAGGCCAATATTTGCTTTGGAGCAAATACAGCGATGGGTTCACCACATTTTACGACATGGCAAGGAAAGAATGAGAAACACAAGGGAAACCAATGATTTACATTGATATAACTATAATATGAAGTAACATACGACTAAAACAACAGTTGGATAGCTATTCCCTACTTTATTGGTTAGGATTTTTAATTGCATAATGCAAACTGTTGATTTTCAAAACAAAACACTTGAATACAGACATACTGTCAGTATGGAAATGCTCTGTGCAGCTGTTAATCAAGTTAAATCCCAACAGCCAATCAGCAAGAAATGCTCTGTGCAGGTGGAAATGCTCTGTGCAGGTGTTAATCAAGTTAAATCCCAACAGCCAATCAGCAAGAAGAATAGAGGAAAGCTGCATGCCTATTGGTTGATGCCCTGCATTCCATTGTGATGACTCATACCCAAACGTGGTAAACATGGCAAACTAACACAGTAATACATTTGCTATAACACAGCCAAAAAACTCAAATAAAACCATTCTAAAAGCCTGTATCACAAAAATTTAAAAAACGCCTAGGGGTATTTGCCCACTGTACCTCCATACCAAATTTCAGGACCTTAGGCCCTAAAATGAAGAAGCTGAATCAATTTAAAAAATGGCAGGAGAAGAAGAAGGAGGAGGAGGAGAAGGAGAAGAAACACCAGAAAAAGCAATATCGTGGTGTGGTGAACCCATAATTAAAAGATGACGTATGCATAACTAAGAAATTGATTGATACATATTGATGGTGAGTAATGTATGGACGCGTACTATACTATCAGATGTGTTATCCCATTGAGTGTTTATGGGTATTATGATATGTATTTGGTTATTTGTATTATGGATTATTGTATTTATCCTTTATGATCATTTTCATGACCACGATTATTGTCATTGATGAATATTATTGGTAACCATGGTTCATATAAGTTTTTGAGGGTTTGGTTACGTCATTGGAGGTATTTTGGAGGTTTCAGGCCGAACAATGTGTCACAACGTGAAACAACGTGTCACTTTTCAACTCAGATAACCCGGGCAACGTATTGCCAGACAACGCTCTATGAATATTAAGTTTTACGCGAATGACAAAGACAAACGCAAAGGCATGTCAAAAAATGACAACGTTTTATCTTACAGCACCAAAGAAGATTCACCCACCTACCAAACCTAACTGCCAAGCAGCTAAAAAGAAACGGGAACTCGGTAAGAAGTCCACCAAGACATTCAAGGAGCTTCTTTTGTTGGTCGTCTTTGTTGTTGTCCTCTTCTACATCGCCCAGACGAACAACGACCAGCGTATCTTCTATGAGACAGGAACACTGTCCACCGCCGTTCTACGGGAATATGATACAGTAAGTAAGGGTTATACTTAGGTGTCAGCCTTGTTAGCTTTCGTCCGCTCCCCAAGTTCCGCTAGAGCGGAAGAAAGCTAACAAGGCTGACACTCAGGCTAGGTATTACATGCGAGTCGGAAGTATTGTTTTGGGCAGAGGCAAGGCAGTATGCACTGCCCAAAGACCGACCATTAGCCCACGGTGGTGCAGCATTATTTATTTTCCAAGGAGCATTAGGGTATAGCCTTGGTCACTCCTTGGCCTTGCTAAATCTGTTTGGTGATCACGCACCCCCAACCCCCCGATGAATGAGGACACTCAACAGTCATCTTCGTCAACGATTGACTACCAAGAGATTACAGTTTGTACGTGTGCCATCCGCAGAAGTAGTTGAAGTACGTTGACATTGCGTCAGGCCACATAACAGTTATCAAAAAGTCAGACAACTGAAAAATGAAGTGACTTGAAAATCCTATGAACAAGGGTACAGAACTATTGCTGCATGACTCAATGTTGACAAACTCTATCTTGGCCAGGTCTGCCGCTGTAAAGCAATGCTCCCGAGTAAGACAGATGCTGAATATGCAGGCGTGAAAATAGTACAAATTCCTTATGAATACTTACAAGTTTTGCAAACTCCTTCCATGCCATGCTATAAGGCTAACGACTGAGACAGCGCAAAAATGTTTATTTTTGCATACAGATCAGAACTCCAGACCAGTTCTACACGTGGGCTGAGGAAGTCCTGCTGCCGACTCTGTATCCCTCCGCCTGGTACAACGGCAGGAAAATGAAGTTCTTAGACCGGCAGTTTGCACAGAACACCGAATCCTTCCGCGTCGGCCCTCCACGCTTGAATCAAGATAGGCGACGTCCAGGTACGTTTTTAATTTTCCTTTTTTACCTTATTAAATCTAGTAAGTAATACGTTTCAGAAAAGGTCTCTTACATGCATTGACCATCGTCTACAATCATTCACAAAAAATGTCAGTAAATCGTTCTTACACCCTCCGACACATGTTTTTCGCCAAAAAAATGATTTATAGATACTTTAAAGAAAAGACGGAGAAAGCATGATTGAATTACATCACATATTCATAGTATAGATTTTTACTCATACTCAACTTTTTCACTACGGTTTATGTTTCATACAATGATTGCACATTGCACATTCCAGGCGAGCTTTTGCCACATCCAGGGCATACCGGATCACAACCCTGCCTATCAATTGAGCTTTCAATCTCCGCCCAGCACTTCCAATCCTGACTGCTTAGGGAGAAATACATACAAATTCCTAATTATTCTAGGGTTGACCAGTTATAGGAATAAAATAACGAACTTTTTTGTCAATGCAGATGCCACTTCCTGGGAGAACGGTGCCGGCCTTGGCTGGAGTTTGTGTCTACAGGACATGTCCTATAGCGGCTGGCGATTTGCGGTTCCAGATCTTCTGAATAACACCAACCACACTTTTAACCGCACGAACCATCACTCCGTGGATCTGCCGCTTGATCACGACACCGCTGTGGCATTCTTCCGTGCCTTGAAAGACTCTGAATTTCTGGACAAGTACACAAAGTCTTTATCGATCGACATCAACTTCTACAACCCCGCCGTGAAACTGTTCAGCGTTGTGCGCATTGTCCTAGATCATTCCGGAGTAGGAAATCTCGTGCCAACGGCAACTATCACGTCGTTTTGTCTGTTTCAGTATGAAAGTGATGCTGACTATGTGAACTTGTGTATACACATTCTATTCGCACTGCTTTTCGCAGTAATGGTTTTCAAGGAGGCAACATCCGTGAAAAACATGGGAAGGAAGTATTATACTTCGGCCTGGAATGCCCTTGGATGCCTCAGCCTCATCGGCACGGCGACAGTCATCTGCGTTTTCATCAAGCGATACACCGTGGCAGCTGATACACTTGCAATGATTGCCGAGACTAATGGTGCGTCCCGCGTGTTACATGTGCAAGTTAACAAAATATATTCTATTACCATTTACATCAATGTTCTTTTTAATCCCTAAATAAAGTTCATCTGTGTTACATGTGGAAAAGTTTAACTGTTTAAAAGAATTTTCAACTAACCGTTCAGTCTGAACTACATGTATCTGACACAGTCGCTCAGGACACGTGCATTTTTTCGCACGTGTGATGTCAGCAAAAATTCGAAATTTGTTGGAAGTCAGTATCGTCCCCCGTCTCGTCCCAAATTCTTTTTTAATGCCAAGTTTTGTGCCCCTTTTTTATTTTATTTGCTTCTTTTGTTTTTTCACCAGATATAAAATGACTTTTTTAGCACTTTGCGTGATTTGGTGATTGTTGACTAGGTTTTTTTAAAAACTTTTTGAATTTAATTTTTTTCCAACAGGTGATCTGGGATTTGAAAGCTTTGTGGACCTGACGACTGCTGAATGGTGGGATGCGTGTTTCACACACAGCGTGGGGATTGTTGTGTTCATCAACACCGTCGCCCTGCTCCGTGTCGTCCGCTTCAGTCAGACCATCGCCAAACTCCTGGCGCTACCCGGCATCATGAAGGATGAGCTCCTGTCGTTTTTAATCGTTGCTGCCGTCGCCTTCATGTCGTTCATCAGCGCAGGTACGCAGACTGTGAGAGTTTAAGCTTCACATTATGAATCATGCTTGCGCCAAAATCAATATAGTTTAATTGGGTTTTATGTGACATGCAATTGCCATTTACTTCCACATCTTAACACATTTCTTCAATTTCTGCAATTACCACAAATTTGTTACAACCTACACGAGTTTGTAGCACCACAACAATACGTTCCATAGTATGGCATCAATTGATGCAGGAATGGTTGTAGATGAAGATGAGTGATCGTTGAAAGTTATGTACATTGTAATTTGAGTAGAATAGAGGACGAATGTCACTTTGTTATAGAATGTAAATTATATAGTAAAGAGAGAAACGATCTGTATAGTCTGTATAGGCTTGTACAAAACCTATTTCCTTACTTCATACCCTTGAGTACTGTAGAAAAGTTCATATTCCTAATGCGACTTGACAAACCTTGCATCTAAAAACCCTGGACCCTGGAAGACTAGTCGTCTTAGACTGAAAGGTATCGAATAAACGAAATAAACGAAAAACATATCTGTTCCTTTATCTTTACTATAACTGAAAAGCGAGAAGTTGAATTTATGTAATGATAGCTAGTTTTATTTTGTATATATCTTTTCATCATGTTTTGTTTTGACCTGTACTTAGCCCAGTGTGCCAAAAATGTGCAATAAAAGTCGTCATTCATTCGTTGTTGAAGGCTAATATGATTACAAATCTATTTCAGCATATCTTATCTTCGGGAGCCACCTGAAGTCTTACTCAGACTTGTACCACACAACCTTCGCTCTCTTCGAGATGATGCTTGGAAGGTAACGTCCACACAAATGTGTAACCAGCATAGACAAGTAATATGAATAGACAAACTCTGGTTCCTATGAACCGTGTTATTATAACTACCGGGATGGAAGTATTGTTTTGGGTTGCGTAAGTTCAAGGGAATTCGTACATTGTATGTTTGGGTTCCAGACTGGCTAGAGAGTGGGAGGTGGTTTTGATTTATATATAGGTCATGGCTTACTGCTGCACGCCATACTGTGTAATTAACGTGTGTACACTCCCAGTTGTCTGGAATCTGTGATGTCTTTTTCCAAAGATTTTGGCTTTTCGTCGGATGTGTACTTTCCTTTACAAATATTTCAAACACTTTCCGGAAATCTAGAATCTCCGTAAGTTCAGTACGCTTAATAATGTATTACGGACTTTGTCTCATCGTCCGTTTCTTCATGTGTGTTTTCAGGTTCTTCGCCAATGACATGCTGGAAGCTAACCCTCTCATCGGCCCGATCTTCTTCTCCGCCTTCATGGTCTGTATCTTCACCCTCCTGATGAACTTCCTCATGTCCATCGTCTGTGACGCCATTTCCGCTGACGTCGCCGTCGACCACGACCAGGACCTCGCTGATCACATGTGGAGCAGTGTCTGCGCCAAGTTCGGTCTGCACAGCCCTCCACGTCTAGAGGAGGAACCAGGTAATGCTGTTAACAATGTGGTGCGGTGCGGTTGTGTGGCGCAGTCGGTAGCGCGTTCGGCCCAGGCCCAAGAGGTCCCGGGTTCGAATCCTGCCCATGTGTCACCGATCTTGTGCCCTTGGGAAAGGCACTTTACACGACTTTCCTCACTTCACTCAGGTGTAAATGAGTAGCTGGCTTCGGTTAGGGACGTCCCTCGGATAGGAAGTTAAATGGAGGTCCCGTGTTTGGGAGAGCCACACCCCACTCACGTTAAAAAAACCCAACCGCACTTATATATATATATATATATATATATATATATATATATATATATATATATATATATATATATATATATATATATATATAATTATAGAAAAGTGTAGGGGACCTTCCAGGTGTGAGTGGTTCAAACGTTACAGTCTGGTCTCAGGTTTTACGCCTTGAAGAGGTGATAGTCACCTGTTATGCCAATCCTTCCACTAATGTGTAAACTGAAATAAAGTAAAGTAAAATGAAATGAAATGAAATGAAATAAAATAAAATAAAATAAAAAAGCTAAAATATAAAATGAAAAATGAAATTAATGCATTGAGGCATGAAATTACTGAGTAAATTTTAATCACAATAACTGCGGGGTTGAAACAAATACCCTTGTAACGTTTTTGAAACTTACTTCCCATGTCTTCTTTTGCACAGATGAGTTGAAGATGGAAAAGCTGCAGGAAAACCTGCGCATCATTCGGGAACAGCTGGATGAAAGTCTGGACATCTGCGAGTCCATCCTGCCTTCACGCCGTCGCTCTAACCTGGACGGGCCCAGTCTCCGGGCTAACCGTACCGCTACTCACCACGTCATCAATACACGGTGTGAAGTCAAGATCGTCATCCAACATGCCGAGGACGACTAATTTGGAATCTACCTTTGCGTGCCTAGTCCAGTGGTTAGCGATCCTGCCTCTGGACTAAGAGGTTGGGAGTTCGAATCCCGGCTGATGTCGCTCACCCGACATGAACGCTACTGTTTAGGGACAAATATTGTACAAAGTATTGTACAGAATATCAAAGCTATACAGTTACTGGTTTGTCTATATCATATAACGCGCTTCTAGCAGCTCCTCTACTGACTAGGCCTCTAGACTTTTGATGACCACCTTCTCTAAGACAGGAGAATCGGGGACATCTTAGTCCTGTTTATCTTTGCATATGTTCTAACATGGATAAATGCAGACAGAGAACTGCATTCTTATCATTGTAGTTTTAGAGACTGTGTTTATTGTTTTAGGTTGAGAACTTAGAACAATTGTTGTTTTAGACTGAGAACTTAGAACAATTATTGTTCTAAACTGAGAACTGAGAACAATTATGATTGTATTGAGAACAATAATTGTTTTAAAATGAGAATTGAGAAGAATTATTGTTTAGACTGAGAACTAAGAACAATTGTTTTAGAATTAGAAATAAAACAATTATTGTTTTGGAATTAGAACTAAGAAAAATTGTGTTGTAGACTGTTAACTGAGAGTAATTATTGTTTTAAATTGAGAACTAAGAACAACTATTGGTTTAGACTGAGAGCAATTATTGTTTTAGACTGAGAACTGAGAGCAATTAATGTATTGGATTGAGAACTTTCTGTTATCATTGTATACTGTTGTTTTTATTTTTTAGAATGAAAACTGAGAACAACTATTTTTTTGACTGAAAACAATTATTGTTTTAGATTGAGAACTAAGAACAAATATTGTCTTAGACTGAGAACCAAGAACAATTATTTTTTGGACTGAACTGAGAACACTTATTGTTTTAGACTGAGAACTGAGAAAAAATGTTGTTTTAGATTGAGAACTGTCTGTTATCATTGTAGTGTTGTAGGCTGTGATGTTTTGATTGTTTTAGACTGAGAACTGACAACAACTCTTGTTTTAGACTGCGTACTGAGAATAATAAATGTTTTAGAACTAAGAACAGCACCAGACAAATTTACCTGCACCATCAGATTTTGAAAAGTATGGATGATACCACAAAGCTCCAATCTTATATTACAACTAAACTGAGGTGCATATGCACCCAGTATTGAACCCTGATTTTCATCCCAGACACCACCTAGTGAAACCATGCCAACATTTACTGTAGTCCCTAACCAGACATATAACAGAGTTCGGCAGAAATTATCTACCCACACCATCGGATGAGACTAGTAAGTTAAAGATGTTAAAGCCCTACCGCAACTATTAGCATGGTCGCATATGGCGGCGCCCATTTCCGTTTCTATAACCCTTGGGCCACACAGTCGTGCAATCACTACAGCGACTCACACAGTTGTGCAATCACTACTTCCACACTTTTTCAGACAGTGATAAACAGAGAAAGCAGTACGTACCATTTTTAAAGTCTTTGGTATGACCGGGAATCGAACTCACAACCTACCGAATGCAAGAATCTGATGAAGAAAAAATTACCACCACCTTTTTTTAGTGTTCGAAGATAATTTTTAGGACCATCTTTCTTCTTCGATGTGTACATGTAAATACCACTAACAAGTAGCTTAGTTTGTTGCTATGGATCTCTGCCACTGACGAGTCTCTTTTTTAATTATTCGCGACATATTTTAAGTCATGGCGGTTTCTGATGGAAAGCTTCATACTATAACATTCTTCTGTGGGTGTTCCCCAAAGATCCGAAAATTTCCTAGTAATTTTTCCATCTTGGATGGAAAGTACGAATAAAAATAGGAAAACGTGAGCAAAATGAGTAAACAGCACTGTTTTTAATATTCATGTATGACTAAAACAAACATGTATCCCGATACCTTCTTCATGATTACAATTTCGGCATAATCATGAAGTTTTATATTATTCAAATAGCCAGCTTCAGACAATTAGCACCACATGTGTATAAGGCTTACCTTGGGTTGTTTGTCACACGGCATTACGGAGCAGCTACCGAAGGACGCACCCACAAGAACAACAGCAACCCGTTTCTGAGGCATTCTACACAAGTTCCTGACAAGAAAGTGAACTGAAGCTACTTGACTTGCTTGAAAGGTCTGTTTCTTCTGAAAATGGTATTTGTTTATTTTTGTAGACATTTTTAATGCCTTTAATAAAGGATTAATTCTCCAAGCATATGCTGATATTGTGAATTATGACAGCATTAACCGGTGCCTGAGGCATTCTACACAAGTTTGTACCCAGAAAGTGCCAAACTGAGGCTTTTTGACTTGCTTAAAAGGTCTGTTTCTTACGCCAATGGTATCTTTTTTTTGTAGTCAGGTTGTTCTGCTGTAGTCAAGGCTTAATTCTTCAAGCATATGCTGAAATTGTGAATTATGACATTTTCTAACAGCAGTAACCGGTGTCTGAGGCATTCTACACAAGTTCCTACCCAGAGAGTTCCAACTGAGGCTTTTTGACTTGCTTGAAAGGTCTGTTTCTTCTGCCAATGGTGTTTTTTTGTAGTCAGGTTTATATGCCTTTAATCAAGGCTTAATTCTCCAAGCATATGCTGAAATTGTGAATTATGATATTTTCTAACAGCATTAACTGGTGTCTGAGGCATTCTACACAAGTTCTTACCCAGAGAGTTCCAACTGAGGCTATTTGACTTGCTTGAAAGGTCTTTTTCTTTTGACAATGCTATTTGTGTTTATTTTTGTAGTCAGGTTGTTATGCCTTTAATCAAGGCTTAATTCTCCAAGCATATGCTGAAAGGGTAAATTGATATTTTCTGACTGTTGGTAGGAGTAGATAACTGTTAGAGAAGCCCAGTCGCACGAGAACGTTTAACACAATCTTGTACCCAAGCACTTGGAAATAAGGTTTGTACTAAATAAGGTGAACACGGATGTTTACCCTGATTCTTTTTTGTGGTACCCTGATAATTTTTTTTGGCACCCTGATACTTTTGGGGGCACCCTGACACCTTCTTTTTTTGTGACGCCATATTTCTGAAACAAATTCTGCCCAAAACAGAAAATTAATATAGACCATGCAACCATGCTAGGCTACAATGTGTATAAAATGGTTTTGGTATTACTTGACAACCATAATTGTCTGCACAAAGACTTTATAGTAGCCGTTACTGCTTGTTTGTCTACATTTAACAGTTAATAGCATTATTTGGATGAAAACGACCAAGGAACACAGTCCTAGATAATATTTCAGACAAAATTAGACGACTTTTAATATTCCTACCAGAGATATGTTAGATTCTATATGATTGTTCTTCTGCCCATTCTATTATTGCCAATGCGCATACGTCAGCAAAGGGGAAACAACTTAATATTAATATTCAAGCAGCCAGCTTCATGCAAAAGTATTACTCAGAGGAGAGTGACATGGTTCTAATATTATCATAATGACTGTTAAGGCATTTCACAGATAGCCACAGAATTATGGTAAGAACAAAACTTCAATTTTCTTTACTTCTGCATGGAAACTGCGAACAGAATTATGAAAACATCAGAAAAATGAGTAAACAACATTGATATTGATATTCATGTAAGACGAAAGTAAACACGTATCCCGATACCTGCATCATGATTATAATTGTCGTCATAATCATAAATTTTAATGCTATCCAAAAAGCCAGCTTCAGACAATCAGCGAGTGAGCCTGGTGCGGCAGAGGCGTGGTCTCTTGCCCAATTCAAATCTGAACTGGCGAGGGCCCTGCCGCAGTACATGTATATATGCAGATATTACTAACACACTAAATTCACTTTTGTTTACACAGAATCAGTAACCTAATATATAGTATGTTCCTTAGTGTCTTACATTTACCTTTATACCCTTGTTTATTCATACTGATCACTTGTGTTGTATAACTAACATGTATGCGCACTTCTAGTAATCCGATTCAGTGTCGGGCTCAGCAGTATAAAAGAAGAGTAAACAACCTTAACATTAATATTCAAGCAGCCAGCTTAATGCACACGTATCATTCAGACGAGAGTGACACGGTTCTATAATGACTGTAAAGGTATTTCACAAATAACCACAGGATTGTGTTAAGAAAAGTCTTCAACTTTCTTCACTTCTGCCTCGAAAATGCGAACGGAATTATGACAACATCAGCAAAATGAGTAAACAACATAGATATTGATATTCATGTATGACGAAAACAAATGTGTATCACGATAGCTGCATCATCATTTTAATTTTAGTCATAATCATAAATTTTAATGCTATTCAAATAGCCAGCTTATGACAATTAGCACCACGTGTGTGTAGGGCAAAAGTTGGTGTGACTTTACAGAGTATGTTCCTGTCTGTTTAGGTGGGAGAAAACCATGGGAAGAAAGCTGCTACACATGCTGGTTGTGCTTCTTATCTTGCTGGAAGAGCACAGCATGCCAGAGGCATGCCGTAACGGGGGTTGTAGACCGTATACAGTCTGCTGGTGCTCAACCAAAGGCATCACCACCATTCCTCAAAACCTCCCAAAGTCTATCACTGGATTGTATTTGATGGATAAGCTTATTGCAGCTGTAAATCAGTCTGAGCTTTTACGGTACAGGAATTTGGGTATGTTGGATTTAAGAGAAAATCGTTTTAGCATTGTTGAGCGTTTTCCCATTCTGCCTAGACTTAAATGTTTGGACTTAAGTTCCAACAAAATAACTAACATCAAGCCTGGAACATTCACAAATTTACCCTTGCTACAAAAGCTAAGCTTGATCGCCAACAAAATAACCAACATACATTCCAGTACGTTTGCAATAGACAAGCTCGAATTGTTAAACCTTAAAGCGAACAACATATCATTGATTCAGTCTGGTACATTCGTAAACCTCCCACAACTCAAAGAATTGACGCTGCACGGTAACCCAATAACAGGATTTCAGTCTGACGCATTTCAGAAATTACCTCATCTCAAAGTTATGGATCTGCAACAACTCAAGATGCCAACAATTCAATCTGGAGTATTTGTAAACCTAACCCAGCTCGAAGACGTGAAGCTCTCCGGAGCTATGATATCAATGATTGAGCCTGGAGCGTTTAAAAATCTATCTTGCCTCCAAATATTGTGGCTAAACCGCAACCCGTTAGGACTGCTTTATTCAGGTACATTTGCCAATCTGCCTCGGCTTAAACAGATATTTCTCAGACTTTGCGGGATAACAACTATTCAAGCAGGCACATTTGTAAACCTACCCCAACTGACACATGTGAGGCTAGATAGCAACAACATAAATATAATTCAGCCCGGTGCATTTGCAGATGTATCACGGCTACAATATTTGGACATAAGCGACAACAGGCTGCGTGTTATTTCCCCCTTAGCGTTGCCATCTATTGTCACCATCAAACTTGACGGAAACCCCTGGCGTTGTGACTGCGGGATGGTTCCCATCATACTGGAAACAACTAAATTTCCTTCATTTAAAGACAAGATAGTATGTGCCAAACCCTTCAAATTCAGAAGTCAGAAACTTAAAGATGTCCATCTTATATGTGAAGAGCCAAGCACGTCAACACTAACTGTTGATATCCAAACGTCATTTACTTCATCTACAGGGTCAACATATTCAGTTGGCACCACAGAAAGCTATGTAAGCCCAACAGAATTCTCTGAAGGCTCCACATTTGTCACACACACCCCTGTAAGCGAATCAGAAAGTGCAAATAACAGTTACAACATTACAGTCACCTCTCGTTATCACTGGCACTTCATAAGCAATGCTGGCTCAACAGTGCATCCTGCAGGCAAACCAAGCAAAACAATACTCACGCTAACTTCACCCCTTACAATCACTGCGGACCAGAAACAAGAAAGCAGCACTTCCAATACATCTTCTTACAGTCGCCTCCCCCTACCTGTTCTCATTCGCTCTGTTTTTGGTTCCGTAGCTGCTATTGCCCTACTTGTCACCATCAGTCTCACTGTGTGGTACAAAAGGAAAACCGAGCATCCTCCTTTAGGCCTGGCTGTTGCTAATAACACAAATGCCATAATGTCCAGCGGTCATGATCAGACAGGGCAGGGACAGTCTCAGGCTAATACTGAAATTACCACGAATACCAGAGCTAATGCACTGATCCAAGATGATAATCACCAGTATGAAGATATTGACAACCATCATGTTCAGACAATACAGGACCAGTCTCAGGCCGTGAATGAAATTAATACAAACCCAGCTTCCTTAACTAGTGGTCGAGATTATCAAAATGATGAAGAAAGGAACCAACCTGATCAGACAGTGCAGCACCAGTCTTACACCACCACTGAATCCTCAGATGGGGGAAATCCATCTTATGGCACAGGTGCTGTTACCGCGCAGCAAAATTCTTTGTACGAAATCCAACATGAGTAGACAGGGCAGGGTCAGTATCAGGCCAACACTGAACCCATGGATGGGGAAAATCCATCTTATGGCACAGGTGCTGTTACCGCGCAGCAAAATTCTTTGTACGAAATCCAACATGAGTAGACAGGGCTAGGTCAGTCTCAGGCCATCTTGATTGATCTTTAATATGCCAATTTTATGTGTGTGGGGAAACGTTCCGGAAAGTTAACTAAGCTAAAACTCTATACAATATAAGCAATAACTGTCTACAAGTTCAGACTTTGGATTTGACACTCCATAATATGTGTTAACTGTCATTGGTCTTTTATTGGTAATCGTCCAACCAAGAACAGTGAGCGAGCCTTTTGTGATTCTGTGTAAAGTATAGACAATCTAAATTAAGGAAGAAGCAGAGCAAAGTATTGTACAGAATATCAAATGACTAGCTGATCAGCTCTACGCTGACCAGGCCAGTAGACGTTTGATGACCACCTTCTCTAAGGCAAGGGAATTAGGAACATCTAAGTTAGTTTTCTTCATTTATGCATATGTTATAACATGGAAAAATGCAGACAGAGAACTGTATTTAGTGTTACAGACTGTTTTTATTGTTTTAGATTGAGAGCTGTGAACAATTGTTATTTTAGATTGAGAACAATTATTTTTAGAGTGAGAATTGAGAACAATTGTTATTTTAGATTGAGAACAATTATTTTAGAGTGAGAACTCAGAACAATTATTGTTCTTAACTGAGAACAATTATGATTGTATTAGATTGAGAACTGAGAACAATTATACTAAACTAAAATGTGCTAAACTAAAAACCGAGAAAAATTATTGTATTAGAAGTAAAACTATCCCGTTATCATTGTAGACTGATGTTTTTATTGTTTCAGAATGAGAACTGAGAACAACTATTGTTTTAGACTGAGAACAATTTTTGTTTTAGACTGAGAAAACTTGTTGTATTAGATTGAAAAATGTCTGTTATCATTGAAGACTGATGTTTTATTGTGAGAGAGAGAGAGAGAGAGAGAGAGAGAGAATGTGCATGATTGTGTGTGTTTGTGTGGTAATATGGTGTGTTGTATTTGTGCCTTTGTTAAAATATGTCATTATGGATTGTGTGTAAGTATGCACCATGTAACTATAGAAATGCATACCTGTGTAATCATCAAATAGTGATACAGATAATGATACATGAAGTTCTAGTGGACACAGTGTTTGATGAATATTCAACCTCACACACAGTTCACATTCTTTGCTTCAAGTGGCCCAGCGGACTCGTGCTTTCGCCTCAGTGGGACCAGGGTGTGTGCACATTATTTGGAAGGGCACACACAACGCTCCATATATGGGAGCCCGGATGGTAGATGGCGCGTAAAAATTGCGAACTTTGTCGTTCAATTTCGCGGTAAAAATGTGGCCCTGGCAAAAAATATGTTATAGATTATAAAAATAGACCAAAAAGTCTACCATGTCAGATAGAGTTTTTTTTCTATACTAGTATTTCCGAAAAGTCCTCAGACACCGTTCAATATCACCTTAAGAGAACTCCTTGTACTCCTTTTTTAACCTTAATTTGTACCCTGAAGTAGCCACTTGTAAGTGTTGTGCTTTAATCTGTGATTAAAGACCCAGACTGAATATCACAGTCATGTAACATTTACATGTAGCCTAAAGACTAGATGTGGCCTATACATGAAAGGAGTTGGTTTTCTGTTCAAGGACACGTGGAGTTTTAAAGACGTTGTAAAGAGATGAGAGGTTAATCTTTATGATCTGTACGCAATGCTAAAGTCCCAAAAAGATAATTGTACTTAAACTGCTGATGGCTTGAAGTATATGTTGGGTAAGGCCATGCCAATCGTATTTGTTGGTTCTACAATGTATCAGGTTCTGAATCAATCCCAAATTCTCACATGTATTGGTACCAAAACCTTTTTAGATAATACAGATTTCAACACGTCTTGAGTTTTCTGTTTCCTTGGTCTAGGAAGAAAAATTGAAATTCATTTACTATTAAAATTTTCAGTTCTTTTGAACTGTCAAAGGTTATGTCCTTAAAAAGTCAATACCAATTTTTAATGATAGGCCCCTTGATTGTAATTAAGAAGCTTAAGGGTTTGCAAAGGTTACTTCAGAGCCTTGAGTGTCTGCAGATGCCATTCTTTACAACAGACAGGACTACTACTTAAAGGTGTCCCAGACCAGGTGAGGTACTACAGGTACAGGTGATTGTGTCAGGGACGACTCCCGTGTGTCTTCCAGACGGCGTCTCTCAGTAAGTCTTTTTCTTTAAGGTGTTACATGTATCTGTTTCGGTATTGTTTCACTCATGTTGAATTATGTTATGCTTGGTTTGTTTGGGTTGCTCAATTAGGCAGAGAGTTGTGATGCCAATTTCTAGCCTTGCCATTACTAGGCTGTTCTGACCAATGATTTGTTACTTGTAGCGACTTGAGTGTTGCTAGCCAAATGGCTACTTTAGTGTGATACATGTTAAATTGTGCATAACCATGATGTAACCAATAACATTTGTTCTATCCAGCAGAATACACAGTTCAGGAAAACCTTCTTGCCGGGCCTGACAAGAAGTCTGCATAAACGTCGAAGGTAAGTTTTTCCAATTCAAAACTGTCTAAAGACGTTTAATTCTGTCTCTGTTAGTGTTAAAATGGTATGTGCATCAGTTAAGTTGACATAAGCTCATTCATTGACTGGGTGGCTATTTGATTGGGTGGTTGTGTGGTTGGTGAGTTGAATGGCTGGCTGATCAGTCGGTTGGTTGGTTGGTTGGTTGGTTGGTTGGTGTTTAAGAGGGAAAAGAGGAGCAACATACATTTCTGTTTCGTATGTAAAAGTATCATGATCAAACTCATCTATTTTGTCCCAGGACAGACAGTCCATGATGGGTGTGCTGATGTTCCTCCTAGTCATCCTTAAGGTGTTGGGAGCAGCAGAAACCTGCAGCTGCACATCTTCACCATACTGCAGGTGTGTTGGTCAGGGTCTCACCAGCATACCTCCGGACCTGCCAACCTCCATCATCGGCTTAAATTTGGGACAGAATCTAATCACAACGTTAAGCCAATCTGACTTCTCAGAGTATAGGAACTTAGAAACTTTAGAACTGCCTCAAAATCGCATTTCTGTCATCAATAGCCAACCATTCTATCACTTGTCAAGCTTGACCAAATTATGGCTTTACAGTAACCCAATACGAGTCGTAAGTTCTGACATGTTTACAGGACTGGGGAACTTGGAGTGGCTTTATCTGTACAATACTAATATCAGTGACATTCCGGCAGAAACCTTTGATCCTACACCGCAATTACAAATCCTGTGGCTTAGTAATAACAAGTTAACAATCCTCAAGCCTGACATGTTCACAGGGCTGGGAAACTTGCAGGAACTTCATCTGGGCAATAATAGGATCAGTGATATTCAGGCTGGAACTTTCAATCCAACACTACAATTACAAACCTTGTACCTGAACAATAACAGGATAACGGCCCTGAGTCCTGACATGTTCACAGGGCTGGGAAACTTGGAGAGGCTTGAGCTGGAAAGTAATAAGATCATTGACATTCAGGCTAAAACTTTCAGTTCTACACCAAATCTGGTAAGGCTGACCCTGTTTTCTAACAATTTAATACGCCTCAGAGTTGACATGTTCACAGGGCTGGGAAATTTACAGGGCCTTTACCTGAACAATAATAACATCACAGATATTCAGACTGGAACTCTCAATCCAACTCCAGAACTCAGATACTTAGACCTGAACAACAACCAAATTCATTCCATTCCGTCCAACTTGCTGGCAAATCTGCTGCAACTTACAGAACTCAGATTGAATGAAAATGACATCAAAATTTTTCCCTTTGAAGATTTGTCAAAGATTCAAAGAATATCTCTTCTTTACCTCAACAATAACCAAATGACAACCCTTCCCTCTTTGGCCTATGAGATACTATCATCCATCTCTACTGTTAACATTGACAACTACCCCTGGCAGTGTGACTGTAGGATGGTGGACTTTAAGTTGAAGATGACAGAACCACGTTCTTTTGACAAACAGATCACTTGCTCCCAACCAGACAGCCTCAGTGGGCAAAACCTGATAAAAGTCAACCCTGGCGATTTGATGACAGACTGTCAAAAACCAAACATTACGAGGTTCGAGAGGATTGAAAATTATCTTCTGATTCAGGGAGAGACTCTCCGTTTGGTGTGTGAAGCTTCAGGAATCCCCACACCAGACATCACAGTTAGACTCCCATCTGGACTCGAATTCAATGCAACAGTATACTATTGTCAGCTGGAAGGGTGACAGTGTGGGAAAATGGTACAATAATTGTAAGAGATGTTACTGCAGCAGATTCTGGTCGGTATGTCTGCATCGCAACAAATTCTGCAGGGTCCACACTGGCCTACTTCTCTACAGATGTAGTTTACTTTAAAACGTCTCCCACTTTCTCCCTCCCCATTCTCATCCTCTACCTGATCGCAGCTGTAGCCGGCACCCTTGTGATTGTTGCCATCGTTCTGACCTTCTGGTGTAAGTGTTGTCGCCAGGACCGTTCTGTAGGCCCAGACGCTGGTACCCCGGCTATGCTGGGCCGTAGACGTGGTGCAAGGGTGGCGTGGGACCATCCTTTGGGCATGTAAAGAGTCTGAAGGGTTTACTCATTGCTTGTAGTTTTCCACTCACCTAAAATCCCATCATAAAGTCTCAATTAAGCATTAAACAATGAAACAATCCTGAAAATTAAATATCCACCCATGTAGCCGAAATATTTACGCTGATGATTGCTTTTTTTATGTACAGGCAGGTTGTTTTGTTGTTTATTGTTTTATTGTTTGTTTTGCACTCACAGGATATAATGAAATTTCACAATTGAAGTTAAGTAGACATGCATGGGAGGGCCGGAAACCTGGTGGTTTATATATTGCTCTTCCCAATACTATCAGTTTAAAAGTCACCATTGATACTGGTTGAAACAAAATTTAAACGAAGAAGACAAAAGTAACAGGAAATAAACAGAAACAATTCAAAGAACTTTAATTAAATAATACAAATCATCCATCTGAAAAAAATAAAGAAGATCAAACTAATTAATCTATTTATTAACATTGAACATAACTGTACATTTTAATTATCAAATGTCAGCCCTTAAGACAGACAAGAATTTACAACCAGCCTAAATATCACATATTCAAAAGACTTAGTCTTGAATGTAATAGACAATTTTATATGTAGCTTTAAACCTAAAGCTTGTACAGGCTTTAAAGTTTATGTCATGTCTTACATGGGAATAAGGTGGCTATCTAATGATAATCAACTGTATCTGATGTAATTTGAGTGATGATTTGACAAAAATATGGTAGTGAGGATCTATTCTTAATATTTTACTGGTGTGGTCATATTATTTTCAATAGTTGATGTATGGAAGAAAGTAAAAAAGTAGACCAATAATTGTGAAAAGTGAAAATCTTAATCATGGTTTATATAATAATATATATAGTGTTTTGTATACCATAGAAAATGCTATTTCTAAGCACGATGCAAAGTTTTGTTACCCTTTCACAGGACTTGATGAAGTTGATGAACTACTTACTATGCTTAAATATCCTCGGTGGTGTTTAAGGGCACTTGTTATAATGATTTAATCACCTCCTTGTTCAACCACTTCAGAATCTGTAATATTGCTATGGAGAGAACAGTCTGAGATTATAAACTTGCTGCACGTGATGAAGATGTTGTTTGTCTTGTTAAAGGACATCTATTATAAGGTGAAGGTTTTTAAGGTTTTATAGATGTTGTAAACTTAAGAGAGCAGTCTCTTTATAGTTATGATGTTTACTTGATTCTCAAGTCCCAAAATTGTTGACAGCTTGCACTTCAAGTAAGTTATGGTTAAATATATCACTGTTTATGTGTAAACCAATCCTCAAATGCTCCTAAAAGTTATTTCTTTTATACTCCCTGCAATGTTCTGTACAATCCACATTTTAAGACGACTTGAATTTTAGTCCCCCTTTAGTCTCAAGTGGAAGAATTGTTCTTTCCCAAATTAAGACAAATGTTAAATGGCTCTCTTGAAATTAATTTTCGTTACCACGTATACCAGTTAAGATCGTCCAGATCTTGCTTTAGGCTGTCCAAGGTCATGACTTTTGTCCTTAAAGAGTCAATACTCTCACTCCTGATGGGCTCTCCTGAGTGTGATTAACAACCTCTAAGGTTTGCAAACAACTTCAAAGTTTTGAGTTACAACAGACAACACTACTTCATGGCTACTTTAAGTTGCCCCAGACCAGGTGAGGTAATACAGGTAAAGGTGATCGTGTCAGGGACAACTCCTGTGTGTCTTCTAGACGCTGTCTCTCAGTAAGTCTTATTCTTTAAGGTGTATGTATCCGATCCTTTCTATCTGTGCTGAAAGTTCTGGCTAGTTTCTTCTCAATCCCTTGTTTTGGTCACTCAGGTAGAGAGTTGTGATGCCAATTTCTTGCCATGCCATTACTGGTGTTCTGAGTCGTGATTTCCGTTGTACTCAAAACAACAGCAAGACTTTGGATTCGTGGGATATTTAGCTCTAACTATAGCTAGGTGCCTTGTGATTTGGCGCTTTCTTGGGGGTCTACATTAGACAGAGCCCAGCTGAACTAGGCTCTTGCTAGGATTTTGCTGTACGGTAACGTTTAACAGACTTCATATTGCATTGTTACATCTGTAACATGCTGGTTGATGAAGTAAATTTGTGGTTAACCCTTCTTCCCACTGTCTAACCCTGTAACCATTAGAGACATAGTAGCCGAATGGGCACTTTTGTGTGATAAAGACTAGATTGTTGGTCACATTACAATGATGTAACCAATAACGTTTGTTTCTATGCAACAGGCTCAACAGTGCCAAACAGTCATAAATCATCAAAGCCGTCTTAGCAGGCCCGACAGGAAAGTCTGCATAAACATCGTGGGTAAGATTTTCATATTCAAATCTTGCACACTTTTCTAAAGACTTTTTAGTTTGTTACTATTACCGCAAACAGTAAATGCGTCAGACAAATTGACGTGAGTTCATGATGCAAGCTTTTCTTCATTGAAAAGTCACATGAAATGAATTGTGTTTTTGTTCTTTTATTTGGTTGACTGGCTGTTTGGTTGTTTTTCTGGGGGGGCTGGCTTGTACTTTTGATATATGTGTTGCTCGTAAAATATGATGTAAGAGAACTGCTTTCCAATTCTGTATATAAAAGTATCATGATCAAGGACATCTATCTTTATTAGAACAGGGAGTGCACCATGATGTTTAAGAAGCCAGCAGGTGTGCTGATGTTCCTCCTGGTCGTCCTTAAGGGAACAGCAGAAGCTGCCTGCAGCTGCACAGCTTCAGCCTGTCGCTGCCACAGTCTGGGCCTCACCAGCGTTCCACAGGACCTGCCAACAAACATCACACGCTTGTATTTGGGATGGAATCAAATAACAACCATAAGTCGGTCTGATTTCTCACGTTATAGGAGCTTAGAGATCTTAGGACTTAATGACAATCGCATTTCTACTATCAACAGCCAGGCATTCTATCACTTGTCAAACTTGACCCAATTATGGCTTGTCAGGAACCGACTAACAACCCTCAGGTCTGACATATTTGTAGGGCTGGAAAACTTGGTTCTCCTTATTCTATGGAGTAATCCCATCAGTGATATTCAGGCTGGAACTTTCAATCCAACACCAAAATTACAACACCTGTATTTTGCTCTAAATACGTGAGGTACTACAGGTACAGATGATCGTGTCAGGGACAACTCCTGTCATGCCTGTGTGTCTTCCAGACAATTGCTCTTGGTAAGTCGTATTCTTTAAGGTGTTACCTGTGTCAGACCCTTTCTGTAGGATGGTGGACTTTAAGTTGAAGATGACAGAACCACGTTCTTGTGACAAACAGATCACTTGTTCCCGACCTGAGCACCTCAATGGGCAAAACCTGATAGAAGTCAACCCTGAAGATTTGATGACAGACTGTCAAAAACCAAACATTACGAGGTTTGAGAGGATTGATAATTATCTTCTGATGCAGGGAGAGACTCTCCGTTTGGTGTGTGAAGCTTCAGGAATACCCAAACCAGAGATCACAGTTAGACTCCCATCTGGACTCGAATTCAATACAACAGTAGAGTCAGTCGGAAGGGTGACTGTATGGGAGAATGGTACAATAATTGTAACAGATGTTACTGCAGCAGATTCTGGTCGGTATGTCTGCATCGCAACAAATTCTGCAGGGTCCACACTGGCCCACTTCTCTGCAGATGTAGTTTACTTTGAAACGTCTCCCACTTTCTCCCTCCCCATTCTCATCCTCTACCTGATCGGAGCTGTAGCCGGCACCCTTGTTGTTGTCGCCATCGTTCTGACCATCTGGTGTAAGTGTTGTCGCAAGGACCGTTCTGTAGGCCAAGACACTGGTACCCCGGCTATGATGGGCCGTAGACGTGGTGCAAGGGTGGCGTGGGACCATCCTTTGGGCATGTGAAGAGTCTGAAGGGTTTACTCATTGCTTGTAATTTTTCACTCACCTAAAATCCCATCCTAAATTCTCAATTAAGCATTAAATAAAACGTAATCCTGAAGATCAAATACCCGCCCATGTAGCCTTAAGATACAACCATCTAATGCTCAAATGTCTGCCCTTAATATCAAAAAGCCAGACAAGAATAAACAACCAGCCTGAATATCACACAATCAGTCTTAAGACTCAGTCTTAAATGTAATTATAGCTATATGTAGCCTCAGCACTAAACACTGTTATCTTGTACAGGCTTTATAGTTTGTACAATGTCATCCATGGGAGTAAGGTATCCAATGCAGTGATAGTCAACTGAAGCTCTGATGTAACTTGAGTGATGATTTGGTGAAAATATGGTAGTAAGGATCTATTCCTAATATTTTACTGGTGTGGTCATATTGTTCTAAATAGTTGATGTATGGAAGAAAGTAAAAAAGTTGATCAGTTGTGAATAGTGAAAATCTTAATCATAATTAACGTAATAATATTATATTAGTGTTTTGTATACCATAGAAAATTGATAGGTTTAAATAATATGATGCAAAGTTTTGTTACCCTTTCACAGGATTTGATTAAGTTGATGAACTATTTACTATGCTTGACTATCCGTGGTGTAATATACACTTATAATAATTACATCACCCCCTAGTTCAAACAATTCAGAAATGTTACTATAGAGACAACAGATTACAAACTTACTGCACGTGATGAGGATGTTGTTTGTCTTGTTCAAGGACATCTAATATTAGATGAAGGTTTTATAGATGTTGTCAGGAGAGAAGAATACTGATGTTTATGATGTTTACTTGGTGCTCAAGTCCCCAAATTGCTTGCACTTCAAGTAAGTTATGGTTTGAAGTGTATATTACAACTGTTTATGTATAAACCAATCCCCAAATGCTCGAGACAGTTATTTCTTTTAGTTGGTATTGTTCAATATTTCCTGCAATGTTTTGTATGAGCCACATTTCAAGACGACTTGAATTTTAGTCTCTCTTTGGTTTCATTGTAAAAGAATTATTCTTTCCCAAATTAAGACAACTGTTAAATGGCTGTCTTGACATTTTCTTTACCAATTTAGATCGTCCAACTCTTGCTTTGGACTGTCTAAGGTCATGTCCTTAAAGAGTCAATACTCTTATTCCTGATGGGCTCTTCTGAATGAGATTAACAACCTTAAAGGTTTGCAAACAACTTCAAAGCTTTGAGTGTCTGCAGAAGCCATTCTTTACAACAGACAACACCACTTCACGGCTACTTTAAGTTGCTCCAGACCAGGTGAGGTACTACAGGTAAAAGTGATTGTGTCAAAAACAACTCCCGTGTGTATTCCAGACGCTGTCTCTCGGTAAGTCTTATTCTTCAATGCGTATCTATCTGATCATTTCCCTTTGTGCTGAAAGTTCTGGCTAGTTTCTTCTCAATCCCATGTTTTGGTCACTCAGGTAGAGTTGTGATGCCAACTTCTGGCCTTGCCATTACTACTATTGTGTGTTCTGGCCCTAGATTTACTTGTCACCTGTAGCAACTGCAAGACTTTGGATTTGTAAGATATCTATCTCTAACTATAGCTAGGTGTCTAGTCTATCGTGGTTTGGGCAAGCTTCCTTGGGGTCTACATTGTATAGACAGAGCCCAGCTGAACTAGGCTCTCACAACGATTTTGCTGTACCGTAACGTTGAACAAACTTTGTGTTTCTTTGTCACATCTGTAACATGCTGGTTGAATGAAATAAATCTATGTTCAACTCTTCTCCCTGCTGCCTATCCCTGTAACCGATGGATAGTTGGTAGCCAAGTCAGATTACTTTTGTGTGATAAAGACTAGATTGTTGGTAACATTGCATTGATGTAACCAATAAAGTTTGTTTTCCATGCAACAGGCTCAACAGTGCAAAACAGTCATAAATAATCGAAGCCGTCTTGACAGGAAAGTCTGCATAAACGTCACGGGTAAGATTTTCAAACAGTGGCACACATTGACTTTTCTAAAGGCTTTTTAGTCTGTAACTGTATAAAAAATTGTTTAAAAAGTGCATGAGTGAAATTTACTTGAGTCATGATGCAAGTTTTACTCATTGAAAAGTCACATGAAAGGAATTGTGTTTTTGTTCTTTTATTTGGTTGACTGGCTGTTTGGTTGTTTGTTGGGCTGTTTGTTTCTTTGGCTGGCTGGCTGGTACCTTTGATACATGTGTTGGTCTTAGAATATGAAGTAAAAGACAACATTATGCTTTTCGGTTTTATATGTAATAGTATCATGATCAAAGGCTTTCTTTTTTATTAGAACAAGGAGTGCACTATGATGTTTAAGAAGCCAGCAGGTGTGCTGATGTTCCTCCTGGTCATCCTTAAGGTGTTGGGAACAGCGGAAGCCTGCAACTGCTCATCATCACATTGCAGCTGCATTAGTCTCAGCCTCACCAGCGTACCACAGACCATGCCAACAACCATCACCAGCTTGTATATGGATGGTAATCAAATCACAACATTAAATCAGACTGATTTCTCACGGTATAGAAGACTGAACACATTGATTCTAACAAGGAATCAAATCTCTAGAATTGACAACCAAGCGTTTTCTTACCTTTCAAACTTGACTAACTTGAATCTTGAAGGTAATCGTCTTACAATCCTCAGACCTGACATGTTTACAGGGTTGGGAAACTTGCAGACGCTTAACTTAGATAAAAATGAAATATCTGGTGAAATTCAGGATGGCACCTTTGATGCAGTGCCACAGCTGAGAATTCTGTACCTAAATACCAACATGATTCACATGATTGGTCCGCAAATATTTACATCACTTAGAAATCTGCAGGCATTGGACCTACAGATCAACATGTTCAAAACCATTCCCACCCTACATTACTGGCTACCAGAGCTCACTACTCTGTACCTTTCCACTAACCAGATCACAGACATTCCCAGGGATGCATTTTCCAAGCAGCCTAAACTGAACCTTCTCCGACTTTCCTCAAACCAAATTTCGACACTTCCCTTTGGAGCCTATGACATGCTGTCAGCCATCTCCACTGTGAGCATTTATAACAACCCCTGGCAGTGTGACTGTAGGATGGTTGACTTCAGATTAAAGATGACTGGTTCACATTCTTTTGAAAACCAGATCACTTGTTACCAACCTAATAGCCTCAATGGGCAGAGGCTTATAGATATCAACCCTGACGATTTGATGACAGACTGTCAAAAACCAAACATTACGAGGTTTGAGAGGATTGGAAAGTATCCTCTGTTTCAGGGAGAGACTCTCCGTTTGGTGTGTGAAGCTTCAGGAATACCCGCACCAGAGATCACAATCATTCTCCCATCTGGACAAAATGCTACTGTTGGGTCTAGTGGAAGAGTGACTGTGTTGGCAAACGGTACAGTAACCGTAAGAAATGTTACAGATGATGATTACGGTCGGTATGTCTGTATGGCAACAAATTCTGTTGGGTCCACATTTGCTGTTTTCTCTGTAGATGTCAACTATTCCTTCCCCAAAGTTACCCTGTATCTGATCGCAGTTGTGGTCTGTACCCTTGTCATCGTTGCTATTGCCGCTTATTGCATGTAGTTCTGTTTAAGCACATCATATTAATTATTTCAAATGTATCCCAAAAATGAGATTCTTATAAGACTAGATTGATCATTGACAACTTAAAAGACTAGGCTATTTTTGACTCCAACTTTAGGTTCAAACAACCCTTGATAGTTTCTACATCCAACGTTATAAGATACAAAATAAGCATCTCTAAGATTTAGTAACCTGTGAGTTAGAAAATTGTTTTGATATAAATGAGCCATTTGTATATATACATAACGTTATGGCTGTGTTTTTTAGTTGAATGTCATGTATATAGAATTGCATTAGGTTGATAAGCTTGTTTAATTATTTGTACATATAACATATGATTTAGTTATTTTGTTTAGCATTAACATTTATCCACCAGGTTACATGTACTTGTCAGTCAGAAAAACAGTGTGTTTGAGAGATTTCTAGTGCAGCACCCCCAGGTATGCACAGTTTAGATATACAGGAGTACATAGAGGTTGCATTGGAAATCTGTGTGCATTAGGGACACATTCTTCAGGATTTATATGTGACCTGTCCTTGGTGCTGACTGCCTTCCCTTAATATTCTTAGTAGTAGTATACAGAGACGTTGCACAGGAGAACTCTTTAATAGACAAATTTTATCAAAATCTGACCTACGTACAACTATCTCAAGAAGCTAGTACATCACTAGCACATGTACTATACATTAGTTATTTTAGATGCAGTAAAATACCACAGTCTTATTTCACTATAATGGTACCTAGAACTGCTTTATCATAGTGTATTTTGCCACAGTATGTATGAATAATTATAAAAAAGCTTTATACATTGCACACTTGAAAAACCTGTTTTTGACTCTAGATCATAACTACATCTTAATGGTCAATATTTGTTCCAGTGTGATTCTTGTATCCCACATAAATGGATCATGGCAATGTATAGAAGCATAAACAATTCTGATATAATCTTCCCAGAGTTTTATCATATCTCAGTGGTCCCGAAGCAATATTTTTAACCGTATTGAATAATAAAAATATATTAGAAATTTTGTTGTAGTTGTGCTGGCTTAAAGGGTCATTATTGTGTGCTGTTTTATTTAGTGATTGAAAGAGAGAGAGAGAGAGTCGGGGGGGGGTGACTGTGTGTGTCTGTGTTTGTGCGTGGCTGTGTGTGTGTTTGTCGTGTTTGTGTGTGCGTTTGTGTGGCTGTGTGTGTGTGTGTGTGTGTGTGTGTGTGTGTGCGTGCGTGCGTGTTTGTGTGTGTGTGTTTGTGTTTGTGTTTGCATAATTGTAACCAAAATAAGGTGTACTCGTTGTTCCTGAATTCTCTTTACCTGAAGTCAACAGGTGGGCATACATAGCTAATACCATTACGTCAGTGGATCATTATCATAATTTACCCAAAATTTTAGCCTGCTCCAGAAAAAAAGCAGCAAACAGGGCATTACCACTACATTTTCATTTTTTTCCAATTCAAATTCTTTATTTCCATACCAACATTATAGGCATACAATATGGAATTATAATGGCGCATGAATGACATTGGTATTGGCATTTTGCATTATAAACCTTGTTAAGCAAGAAATTATACCTGATATTATCGTAGCCTGGCTTGGCAGACACCAGGGTTTTCCGTAAACCCTGTTGGTACTTTTCTTAATCCTCAGAAAATGTATGTGACTTGATTAAATAAAGATCTTGTTGATATACAGGCTTCAATGTACTATGTACTGTATATATGTACTAAAATACACCAATCCCTCGCTTTTCCATGGGTGTTCTGTTGTGTCAAACAAAACGTCTAGTACAGTAAGTATTAAGGCCACAACTGCAATACTTAATACATGGAACTGATGATGATTTCAGCACCAAGCTGAGGTCCACACTGATAATGTACATTGACAGGGGGGGGGGGTTCATCCACAAGGTTGGGGATATAAACACTTGCTGTGGCATCTTTGGGTTTGGATCAAAGAAAACAAGTCCAAAATTGGGCGACGAGAATAATTTCTGACTTTATATTCCTCTCTAGTTGGTTCACCAAGAAAAGCCCGGCTATTTCCTGTTCATGAATGACTTTCCGACGACTTTGACACGAAGCAAGGTATGTAGAAAACTTAACTGAAATACATGAATTTCCCTAAGAAGATAATTGGTTTTGAAATTTAGGGTTTTGAATACTACAGAAATTACACTTTTTTATGGATAATCGATTACACAAATCTATTTAAAAACAAACAGCTCTAGATATCAAATCTCCGAATTATACTTTTTACTCGACATGTTTGTTCTTGTATTGGATATAAACATCTAAGATGTATTTTTTTAGAATGGAGGTTAAGATCAGTCAAGGTTTTTCTCCCCTTACAGGTCGCCATGGAAACGCTTGGTCTGAAGGAGGTGACCTGATTGGCTGTCTGGTTAACCACTGCACCGCGTGTTTGATGTCCCATTGTTTTATTCCTCCGCGAGTGGTAAAATAGTTCAAAACGTAAACAACTGAATTGGCATGTAGTAGTAGGCATAACTATTTAAATCGGTACGACTGAAATGTCCAGCCCGACTGGATTTAAAACATCTAATTAGTGTTTAACTAAAACGAAATAGTTACACGTAGTTGTTGTTAGAGCCTTTCTTCTGCAACTTAACAACTACTTGTCGTAGAATCACTTAGCATGTAGATGGTATAGCAGTATCAAAATTAATCATAACAACAACTTAGGTGTCATCATGACCTAAAGTATAGTCAATGTATGTTTACTTCCCGTATATCCCGTGTATCATATTCTAATGAACATAACGTTAGTCTAATAAAAAGTTATCTTGCTTAATGACATTAAAGTACTGTAACATGTAGTGATTGACAGTTACCTGTAGGTTAGCGGGCGGGATGGCCTCAGGGCGACCATTAATGAGGGCCTGCATGCCCTTTCCCGTGAAACGTTATGGGCTATTTTAATTCACCGTTAATCGTTGCCGGCCCGCTCTTATTCAACGTTAAGCGTTATCGGTATATTCCTCGTGAAGCGTTTTTGGTCCTTTTAATTCTACGTAGCGCGTTATTTGTCATCCCAAATCTACACATATGCGTGATTACAGGGAAATGTATCTACAAGGACGCTAATGTGAACGCTAGTATTAAGCGTTGTCGGGCCTGCTGAATTTACTGTTAACCGTTACTAGGACACCCCCATGCAGACCCTCCTTCCTGGTTCCTTCTAAAACACTCCCACGCTGCCACTTATAATTCGGCCAGCGTATCATAATCATATTTGTACCATATATCTTTCAAAAGAGAACAATGTATACGTGTCAGAGCGGCTTAATTAAGTGTATTTGCTGACATTCGTCACCCCTACGTGCCTCAGCACTATCCACTTTTGCCATTTGGAAACAATCCAAGAACCTACACTTATTTAATACCCCTTTCTTCTACTGAACTCCTCCTCAGGCGAATCGTTAAATGTGAATAGCCTCCACCAGGCCTTCGTCCGGGAATACGGATCGTAGAATTCGGCACAAAAAGAGAGTAAAATTGGCCAAGGGAGTCCGGCCGCGGGGAGGTAGTTTCTTTTCCTCCGACTGCGCGGCCAGTCAAGCCTACTCTCCAAGCTGAGGTTGTGGGGGAATGATCGTTACATTTTTATATATGGCCGGGGTTTTTTTTGTCCTGACCCACACCAACCCCCACCCGTCGGTGGCCGCGGAGCTTTTCTGGCTAATGGATACTGCCTGGCCAATTTGATACTGTCTTTTTGCCACCGAGAGGGATCTGCTTGGATATTAAGTCAAGCCTACAAGGCGACCAAACTCCCCTGGCAATTATTCTCCCATATATAGCCAGCGTAGTTAGTCTGGTAGAGACTAAAATGTGAACGTCAGAACAGAGTATTAAACGTTGCTAGAAGGGTATGAAATGCTGAGAATGACCTTGAGAATTACCTCGAGGCAAGGTCGTTGTGACGTCACCCACAGTCAACCCTTTCAGGGCTTAGCAAGCAACGTCATAGTATCAAACACAAGGACTTGAGTATCATGGTGACAACGTCTTTATCAATTATTTTCGATGGATCCCTCTTTTGTACAAACATCCACTGTGGAGCCAGTTTGCATGTCTGTGTTGGGGAAGGGCGAAAGTCTGTAGTTGGCCTTGCATGACCGCGAAAGCCACAGGATGACATGCAGCTTCTACTAGATAGATTTTTTTCTATAAATGGAGGGGGTGGGTCAGTCCAACTGTTTCACAAATAGTTTCACTTACACTGAACCGTAGCCATTCTTTGTCCGACCGGCAGCGAGCTATTAAATAGACTGTGCGCAGTCACATCACGTAACTCCAGTAATCCTCCCGGGCTAGTTGCTCATGATAGATCATTGCCCTGTTCATATGAAGTCAGTGAAGGCGCTTTACATGTGGTTTGTCCCGAAGCCGGTTTCAAGTACGTGTAGTTGATGGTGATAAAATTGATGTGTTAGAATTAGTGTGCACAGGTTGTGTTAGGAATTGGAAATTAATTTTGGCACATGACATCCTTTATAATAATGAGTGAGGCCTTCTGGTCCATTATAGTGGTATCATTTATGATAATGTGTGAGGTTTTTTTCCTAATTTGTCATCGAGCTGCGAATTTTAACGGCCCGGCCATCGTGTTGTGTATTTCTAGCTGATACCCCCTTCCTTAAAATAGTGTATAGTCCACTATATGGTGGCGATATATTAAAAGTAACCGTCAGCCGTATGACTCTATACCAACAACCCAATAACAAAACGTACACCAATTCAAAGACAAATAAGACAAATCTGTCCACCCCACAGCGAGAAACAGCTGCTGCAAACATGAAAACAGCGACCAGTTATAGTACCCTTCAGCGGAAGGACTCCTTCCCCGGAGGTAACAAGAAAAACGTTTCTTTCAAACCATACCCCCTTTGATTTGAGTGGTTTAGTCCAGTGACCCTTCCCAGACGACCCCCCATGGTTACGTTACACCTGGAGACTTCCGCTTTTAACATTCTCCTTTGGTATCGCGTATCGTCACTTTTACTACCAGCACAAAAGTGCACGGTGAGTTTTGACACCGAAAAGGCCACTATCTTTACCTTAAATCCAGCTGTACAATGTAGGCCAGTGTCGACCTGGTGGTAAGACCGAACAGGTGGGTAATGTACGTATACGTAGTAACGTTATGGCTGACGATGTATTTTAATGTTCCGATGCCTCAACATTGTAGTTCAATCCTGGAAAAAAGATCTTATGAGTATCGTACAACATCTAACCGCTACAGAATATCATAGGTTAGACAAAGACAAAGTTTTGAGGGGAAAATAGTTGTTTATTGGACAGGTGAGTGTAAATAACGATGTTTGTAATATACTACTAGGGGAGGGGGGCGTAAAGTGGGTGGGGGGCATTGTTTGTTGTGGTCACAACAAAGAAGTCCAAATTTGTCTTTAATAGTAGTGGAATTATTTGAAAGGTAATAGACTGCTGGTTTTATTTGTCATCTAAAAGTACACATGATTGCACACAGGACGGGAAGTAGGTTTATATACTAAGTACTTCATGTCCTGGTCTGAAAATTGCCACACCTGGCCAGGGGTACACCCTAGAACATAGGAATTCCATATATTTCGTGCACGTAATTTGCATAGCAAGCAAAGAAGTGAATCATAAATTATTCCAATCCATGACGAGAAAGTCCTACCGTTGGCAGCAATGAATATTGTCTGATTCAGATCACGTATTTCCATAATTAATCAAGAAATTTTGTAGGTTTACAATGCAAGTCCATTTCCATTTCCTTGTATTAGTTTTTGTTCACAAGTAAACTGTCGCTTGTATAAATTTTTTCTTGCACAATCCTGAAATCCCAGCAGCGACAAGAAAGCGACAGCCTGGGAAACGGGACGAGTCATTACACTAAATGTCGAAAAACGTTTGACGTCATCTGCAAGAAAAACATGGAAAGGTGTGTATTTCTCAGCTCCTTTAAACTCTCTTATCTATTCTTTATTTCTAATCAATTTGTGGTATACAATAAAGTAATGACATGACCCTACACGCCAACACTCCATCTCGTACTTACAGTAAAGAATACGTTTTTCAATAAAAATATCTCCTGTTGATGTGAAGAATGCAACAATACCTTGAATGCCTACAATGACTATAGCTGTTCTTTTATTCAGAATCATCTCTGGATTAGGACAATCGAACATCAGTGACAAAGTAATCGAAGACACTGAAAGGTTTGTAAATAATTTTAGACAAAATAGCTCAAGAATGTATTTAAGAAGACAATAGAATAATAGTACTAATATCCATTGTATTGATATACTTAATGTGTGTAAATTAACATATTTCATGTAATGTCATTTGTCTCTTTTTATTACCTCCATGAAAAATGGAGGTATTGTTTTTGGTGTGTCTGTCTGTATGTATGTATGTATGTATGTATGTCTGTGTGTCTGTCTGTCTGTGTGTGTTTCCGCAACATTGTGGTCAGCATAACTTCAGAACGCCTTTATAGATTATGATGATATTTGGTATGTTGGTTAGTCTTAAGAAGGCAAACGTCAAGGTCAAATATGGGCCTCCTGGCGGATGACCTTTGTATCTTTTGTCCTGAACATGCTATGGTCTTGATGTTTTGGTAACAGATTGCTTTTCCTGTCAGGAATAGGTGGTGGGGGTTTGGTCCCCCTAGCAGCTTGTTTTGGAACTGCAGGGCACTTTCCGGCGAAATGTTTAAAAGCCAATAAGTCCAGATAGGAACAACATATTTTCATAATTTTTGGTATGTGGGTAGCTGAGAAAGAGATGTACATGATTAAATGCAAATTTTGCAAATGAGGACTTTATTTGCATAATTAATGAGGAAATTCTATGATTACAGTGTTTTACATTATACTACTTTCATACATGTAAGGTATGTAGCCTATGGCAGACAGAACATCAACAGATACTAATTATGCAAATGATGACATAATTTGCATAATTTATGCAAAAATTCTATGATTTTTTAATGGTGAATAATGCGAATGTCATACTTGGGACATCTGTAAGTTAATCAAAAGTTAACATACATCACGATGCATATATCATGTTAATGCGGAGGTAATTTGCATAATTAAAGAGGAAATGTACATTTACATATCAAGCCCATATTTCATGGAGGTATGAAATCTCGGAATTCTTGTTTCTTATGCGTCTTGCAGCAATGGTTCTAATACAGTTACTGTATTGTACAATTCTGCCAACGTTTTAGGCTGCTTTGGTCACGTAAACCATCAATTAACCTTAAGTTTCCTAGTGAATAAAACGTACTGCAAATTGTCCTACTTCCATATAATATTTAGATTAATTAGAATCACATGTGATTTACTTTTTGCAGATTATGCAGAGACAAGCTACAGGAGGGCTGCCGGGCCCTACAGACAGGAGACCTGGACACGGCAGAACAGCACTTTGCAGCTGCACTGAAGTCTGTTCATGTCAAAGGTAAGTTAAAGACATGTTCCTTCCATGTTCTGTATATACGGTTGTTTCTATTACAGTGTCTGTTAACCAACACCATTTTACAGGGACCAAAATTCACAACTTGACATTTCTTGCTTCTGTTCACACACTTTAGACCAAAGACTATCATTGAGCAATGATCTTGCAAAACGCTAGGTCCAATTACAAAAAGTTGAAAACATGTTAAACTTACTGTTGGTCTTCATGAGCAGCATTGACGCAATACGTATTTGATGAGAAGCAAGATTTCGTGCATTTCATTGATAAAAATCATAGTCAACTTTGCAATATCACATATTGTTCCACACAGATTCAAAAGCAGACCTACACAAAAGAGAGACAGAGCCCCTACATATGTTGGGACATGTCTACCTGAAGAAAGGATTGTTATCAAGAGACGGGGAAGATTTTACTAAGGCTGCAGCACTCTGTAATGCAGCACTGGTGAGATCGAGGACAGACGAAATAAATGAAACAATTCAAGAAATAACCCAATCATTTGTTAAGCACGTGCTGAATGTTGACCTGACGGGAGACACAAGTGAGGTAGAAAAACACAAATTCTCGTTGAATGCCGATCGTGACTATGTAGAGGAGGAATTAATGAGAATAGAACAACATATAGATCCTTATAGCATTGATGATGGTGACCCAAAGATAAGAGAAGTTGAGGAAAGCAGGGCAGAAGCAACCAAGCAGTTGCTTCATGCAATAGTTGGACAGCGACGGAAATTCCTCGCTGACCTTGTAGATGAGTGTATAGAGGTAATGGGCCCCCTTCCCTGTAAGTACGCCATGATGGGCCTGGGTTCACAGGCCACAGGGTTAGTAACCCCGTACTCTGATCTGGAGTTTGCCATCCTGGTAGAGGAGGAAACAGAGAACAATGTTAAATATTTCCGTAATCTAACTCATTATCTACATCTCAAAGTCATCAATCTGGGAGAAACCATTCTCCCAGCAATGGCGATTAAGTCACTGAATGATTTTTGCTCTGAAGACCCACTGGATAACTGGTATTACGATTCTGTAACACCCCGTGGGTTCTCATTCGATGGAGCCATGCCAAATGCTTGTAAGACTCCCCTGGGCAGGGGGAAAACTTTTGAACTTATTCACACACCAAGCAACATGGTTAAGCTTGTAGAGGAGAATTTAACCTCAGATTTGAAGAAAGACTACCATCTTGCCAGTGTATTGGGAAATGTTTCTTTAATCAAAGGAGAGCAGACATTGATCGAAGAATACACAGCTACATGGACTCAGAGACTTCAAGGAAATGACGGAATACTTTCATATATCATAGCACGCATTATTCTGAATGATAATGCACAAACGTTCGAAAGGCAAGTTCCCACTGCAAAACTCTTGGACGTAAAGAAAGAAATGTATCGATTTTCAAGTCTTGCAGTGTTGTGCTGGGCGCTAGTTCATAACATACAACCGACCACAATCTGGGAGACCATTGATAAATTGTATGAGAACGATGTAATCAATAGTGAGAATGCACATCACTTGAAGGTGCTGGTCAGCATCTCAGCAGAACTGAGATTGCGGACATACATGTGCAATGGTGGTCAAGCGGAAAACATGTCAGCTCTTTCGTCAACGTTCACTGATATAGACGATGAGAGGACACTCAAAAAGATCTTTCACTTCTCAAACACAAAACAGCTCTTGAGATACTATTACACAGCGATACCACTAAAGAACTCTATGTCCCGAATTTCCAATAATCATTCGGCCATGGAAAATAGCACTACTCTATTTGACGATTCGCTGAGAACAAAAGCAGAGGTATACAAGAGTGTCTGTGATTACAAACAAATGAAGACATGCTCAGAGCAGGAGCTACAAAATAAGATATCTGAACATGGTGAGGGCACTGCACATCCTGACATTGCGGAAGCACTTAACAACGTGGGTATGGCCTGGGGAGACATCGGTGATACCAGACATGCAGTCGCGTATTTAGAGCAGTCGCAACAGATGTTCCAGTGTATCTATGGTGAGGGTACCGCACATCCTGATATTGTGTCATCACTTACAAACTTAGGTGTGGCCTTAACTAAACATAATGATCACATAAGTGCCGTCAGGTACTTTGAACAGGCACTGAAGATGACGCAGAGTATTTATGGTGAGGGCACTTCACATCCTGATATTGCCAATTCACTTAACAATCTGAGTTGTGCCTGGAGTACCCTTGGTGATCACAGAAAGGCCGTCAGCTACTCTGAACAGGCTTTACAGATGAGACAGACTATCCATGATGCTGCACATCCTGACATCGCCTCGTCACTCAGCAACATGGGTAATGCCTGGAACGAGCTCGGTGATTACAGAAAGGCCGTCAGCTTCTATGAACAGTCACTCCAGATGCGGTGGAGTATTTATGGTGTTAGCAGTGTACATCCAGACATTGCCGACTCGCTTAACAACTTAGGTGCCACCTTTAGCAACCTTGGCGACTACAGAAAGTCCATTATCTATTTGGAACAGTCATTACGGATGAAGCAGAGTATTCATGGGGAGAACACTGCACACCCCAAAATTGCCACGGCACTTAGCAGCATGGCTAGTGTCTTTGACGATCTTGGAGATCACACAAATGCCGTCAGCTATCACGAACAATCACTTCACATGATGCGCAATATCTATGGTGAGGGAACTGCACATGATGACATTGCCAATTCCTTGAACAACTTGGGTAATACCTGGATGAATCTTGATGATCACAACATGGCCATCAGCTACCTTGAACAGTCTTTAAAGATGAGGCAGGTGCTCTTTGGCGAAAGTACTGCTCATCCTGGTATTGCTGCATCACTAAACAACTTAGGAATTGCCTGGAGACACCTTGGTGAAAACAGAAAGGCCGCTGGGTATCAAGAACATGCACTTCAAATGATGCAGACCTTATATGGCAGAAACAGTGCACACCCTTCCATTTCCAAAGCACTCGGCAATTTGGGTCGCATCTACAATGACCTAGGCGATCACAAAAAGGCCATCAGCTATTTTGAAAAGGCTATGTTGATAAAGCAAGTCATGATTGGTGAAACAACTGCACATCCTGACCTTGCTGTGGCACTTGACAACTTGGGCGACGCTTGTAGTGACCTAGGCGATTACAAAAGGGCTGCCAGTTACCATGAGAGAGCTCTGCAGATGAAGTGGGATGTTTATGGCAAGAAGACTACGAATGCAGACATTGCCGCTTCACTTTGCAATTTGGGTGCTGCCTTAAACGAATGTGAAGAAAATGAAAATTCCATTAGCTATTTAGAGCAGGCACTGCAGATGATGCAAAACATCTATGGTGAAAGTCCTGGGCACCCAGACATTGCCACGGCACTCAACAACTTGGGCAACGCCTATAGCGGCCTCGGAGATTACAGCATGGCAATTGTATACCATGACCAATCACTACAGATGAGACGGGGTGTATATGGTACGGGTATTGCACATCCAGACATTGCTGTGTCACTTAACAACTTGGGTAATGCCATAGGGAAGCTTGGTGATCATGAAACAGCTGTCAGCTATTTGGAACAGTCACTACAGATAATGCGTACAGTCCATAATAAGAGCAACGTACACCCCCAAGTTGCTGCATTACTTTATAACCTGGGTAGCGCCTGCAATGACCTTGGTGATCACAAAAAGGCCGTTATCTATTATGAAGAATCATTACAGATGAGCCAGAGCATTCATGGCGAAGGGAATGTACACCCGGATATTGCCAAATCCCTACATGGCTTGAGTAAAACATGGTGTGAAATTGGAGATCACAGAAAGGCGGTCATCTATGGAGAACAGTCTCTTCAGATGAAGCGTGAAATCTATGGTGAGATCACTGCACACCCAGGTATAGCGGCCTCGCTTAACGACTTGGGTAACTACTACCATGCCATAAATGATCTCACAAATGCCGTTATGTATCACGAACAGTCCCTACAGATGAAACGGCGCATCTACGGCGAGGGCACTCAGGACCTTGATATTGCCGCGTCCCTTGATAATTTGGGTAATGCCTTTCTTATCCTTGGTGATGGTCAAAATGCCATCAGCAACTATGAACAGTCACTACAGATGAGACGGATCATCCATGGTGAGGACCATGTGCAACCTGACATTGCCGCATCGCTTTACAATGTGGGAAATGCCTGCAGGAGCCTTCATGAGTACAAAAAGGCTGTGAGCTATTATGAACAGTCATTAGAAGTGGCACAAGCTATATATGGGGAAGCTACAGCACATCCTTTCATTATCGGTATACTCTGCAACTTGAGTAAAGCCTGGAGGGGCCTTGGTGATGACGTTAAGGCTACCAGCTATCACGAACAGTCACTGCAGATAAAACAGGGTAGTTCTGACGGTGATGCATGCATTCTGAGCTAGAAGTCCATTATGATGATTAAAATGCTGGCTCCTTTAGATGTACTCTTGGCCATGACGGTTCAGATCATAATGGTGATGGCGATAGCGGTGTAGAAATCGTGCAGAAATTGCTCAGATGCACTCGAGGGAGCCCCACCACTAACCACTACTGTCATGTCTATACAAGGATGACCAGTAGTTCATATGGGGCCAGGGGTCGTGCTACGTGAACCTAAATAAATGATTTTAGCTCTCGCCCAAATACTGAGACTATCGATATTGACTCATCCTTACAAGTTACGGTGATCGAGAGGACACCTGCTGTATATGTGCTGCCGTATATCCCCATTTGAGCATGTAGGCTGCTTATTGAGTGAACTATTTTTCTGATGTACATGTAAGATGCCGGCATAATTATCCTCTTGAATACAAGCAGGATGGACTCTGTGTTTATATAGTAGAAGCTGTAAGGTGTTTTGCTTGTCACAAAAGCTCACTAGTCGACCACTTAAAGACAGGGACTATCACCTTTAGTTTATGCCTTGGAAGGAAAGAGAGAACACTGTGCCTATTCATGAAACACTTTGTAAGTTGGTACTTTTGCCTTAAATCTAAATGTGTTACATAATTAACATAGAAAACACCAGATGTCTTTGTATGTTTGTTCTGTCAGAAATGCATATTACAGGATTAAAACTACATGTAACGTTACAAATAAGTGTAAGCAATTCAAGAAAAGAATTGGCATATACTAAAAGACCATACAAAAGTCCCTGTACTTTTTGTTGAGTCAATAAAGAATCTTGTAAATTTTTGCTTTTTTGCTCTTCAGAAAATGTTACAGGTTTGGAACATGTCTTTCAAACACAATCACAGTCTACCTCTTTTCAAATTTTCAACTAAGTATTCCAACTTTGTCTGGTATATATCATACTATACAGAATATTTATACCAGGCTGACGATTGAAAATTTGGTAGGTGAAATGTGATAGTGTTTGAAAGACAGCTCAAACCACTTCTAACATTAATGATGTTTACTGGTGTATTAAGCCGCGTTGCTTTCTGCTTATAATGCTTTTCTAAAATGGTTGCAAGTGCAAAGTTGATAGAAACTCTCCTACGGCCACATCCACCTGACATTTAAATAGGCAAATCCAAATTTAAGCCAAAGACTCTCTCCCAAATGAGTTTTGCTACATAACCTCTATAATCATGAAAAATTGAATAACTCGCATTTTTTGGCAAAATACAACCTTTGAGACACGAACCTGGGTGAAAAATATGCCCCGGAACTGATGAAGTAAACCAATAATCATAAAAGACAGTTTTCATTTGTATGTGGCTTTTTTAACAACAAACAAATTTGACCCAAGAAACAACTACTTAAATTGACGTGGCAACATCCTTTTGTTAGAGTCACAAAAGAAAGGCGACTTTGTGCTGTAACATCTTTGAGATTACATAATGCCACTTGAATGTAGTCAGTACAGCATTCCATCTAAGAAGTCAATAATGTGATCAGGGGAGTCTGCTATTAACAAGAAAACATCCTAACACACTGGTCTTTTAAATTTTGGAACAATTTTGGATCATCATTTTTGCGTCGAAATTTCCCAAACTGTCAACTTGTATTAAAATTTATCTTCATCTTATCATCATCTTTGGAGACAAAACTACCCAAACTACCGAAATGGCAACAATATATATTATGATTCCATCTCTTTTAACCGAGTTATATACAAATCTTTTCAATACAATTCAAGCAACAAAAAAAATCTAATTTGAGCGATTAAATTTCAGAAACAGACTTCCCAAATTTAAACTGACCAGTGATCTAAGTTACTTTGAATGTCATTCATAACTGTGGAATTTGTTACTGTGCTTCAGGATAGGAGGAAAAGAGAGAACCTGTTTAAAATACAACATCCTTAACATGATCTGCTTTAAATGCAGAATATAAAAACAACATTGATTGAAATGTTTAACATCTCTACATGTACATGGTCAACAGGTCATCGTGTATGCCAGAAATTCCAGAACTGCTGTCTTCTTTAACAACAAAACCCGTGTTAATAGATGCACATGGATAGGTTAGCCTTACTAAGCCGGCAATGTACAGGCTAACCAATGTATGTACACTGGACACCACTGTACTAACGACTGGTAACTGAGTAGTAATATTCTACATACTGTCCTGCAGTTTCTAATTCTAATGTTATCCTGAAACAAATAATGGGTAATAAGCAATGTGTTAATAAACATCATGTCGTTGCTGTCGTTGTTACTCAACAAAATCATGTCATGGTTTGTATCTATCATCCGATATAAAAAAAAAATCTTGTTATCGACATTCATGAACACTTAGAATAAAATTGCAACCAAAGTTTTCTGTTTTTGTCCTTATTCATGTCCGGTATACCAGGATGATGTTGTGTGCATGGGTGAGGAACATGAGAAATTGTAAGGTTTATCGAATGTGCCAACAAAAAGAAGTGAAAGATGAGCTATATAGCCTCCTCCCCTCTTGACATGGAACAAAAAGGCTCTTAGTGAGATATATACAAATAATAAGGCAAGTACTTCGTACATCAGTTCTGCATCAAAGCAAACATCTGTCTCTTATCAAAGTAAATGATATGGCCAAAGTTATAGTGTTCACCGTGGAATTAATATCAAAACGATAATGGGCATAATACGTCACTATATAATAGTATATATAGGTGGGAGTGACCAAAAGATCATAACAATAAAGTTTGAAGATACAAGATACAAGTTTAAAGTACAAGATTGTAAATGATTAGTAAAATCCAGATTAATACAGAGCCAGTAGTCAATTTCTAAAATACAGTTACTGCATCATGTTGCTGAAATATCAAATAGCAAATTTCAGCATAAAGCGGCTGCAAGTGATACAGAACAGAGCAGCCAGACTTGCCCTGGGATGCGACAGATACACAAGCGAGGACAGGTTGCTAGAGAAGCTGGGATGGCTGGTAGTGAAACACAGAAGTCACCAGAAAGGACTGAGGACTTTCAGTAGGATATTGAAAGAAAAACAACCCATATCATTGTATAAGAATATCACAATGAAGTCACATGGGTACCATACTAGAACATCAGACTCACAGACCATCCGCCTTCCTAAACTTCGAAGAAATGCACAGAAAAGAAGATTTTTGTATAGAATGTCCAGTGCCTGGAATGAAATGAAGTGATGCTGGTGTACATGTATAAAGCCTTATTTTAATCTGTTTTAATATGTTGTAATTGCCATGTATTTATGTTTTGTAAATATGTCATGTGTGTCTTGAAGGACCACAGGAAGAATAGCTACATTTGTTGTAAGCTAAGTGTGGATCCCAATAAAGTCAAAGTCAAAGCCCAGTTAACTCTATTACAGTAATGTTATCATGACACATGATCACCAAATTATTTTTTTTTTAAATTCCAATGCATATGGTCAGGGCTACTTTCATTAAACTGATAGGAATAGCCAATACTTCCATGAGACTAACTGTGGGGGGCAGAGTGAACCCAATGATAAAACAGAAAAGAGCAAAACTTTACATACATTAAAACTACCCCTTTATATATGTATACATATCCATGCTCCTCTAAAATTTGTGTGTTTATTATTAAGTACTTCCGTTTGTTACATTATCTCTGACCCTATCTGATCTCTTCCTTCAGATAAAAGCGACAAGCTGATTTAAGTATTTTATAAAACATTATAAGGATCGAACAAACAAAACGAAAGTGTGAACCATTAAAAAACAACATAAGTGAAAACAATATATTTCACATACACTCTCATGTAAAGGATTTGATGTGAATATTCTTTATATATGCTTTCGTGAAATAAATTTATAACAGACAGCATGTAGATCTTGTGTTCAAAGTTACAGGTGTTAAAATTGTAGAGGTGCAGTGTCGGCTAAAATTGTTTGTTTATTATTTGTACAGCAGCAATAAAAATTATGCATAATAAATTAATAATGAATAAAACAGGTGCAGAAGGAGGGGAAAAAGCTTATTTAGCTTATGCTAAGCCCTCCTCCTCTATACTAACCAAAAGTAAACATAATTGAATTGAATATAAGGCATACATACATAAGGAATTGTTATCAAAATAATTCAAACATGGGCAAAATGATACAGTAACAATAATGAAACAGTAGTATACATAAATTGAGATGAAATGAAATTGATATGAAATAATACATACATACATAAGGAATTGTTATCATAATAATTCAAACATAGGCAAAATAAACAATAACAATAATGAAACAAATAGTGTACATAAAAATAATAATAACTGAAGGTATGAATCTATGTTATCCCCTATTAGTTAATGTAGTAAATGGGTAAACTCAGAATGCCAGTCTACCAGCAGATTAAATAGCCAGGGATTTTGATGGTCTTTGATGGCTTTTTTGTCCTCTTACATCAATCATTATTGGTGAAAGCTGTCTTCGAGCTAACAGAAGCAGGGAAATATTGAATGTTCTAACCATGGCCATCCAAATGACTGGCTAACCTCAGTGTCAAATCCTTGGTTCTAAAAAGGGCACACACTAAAATTTTAAGAGAGGAAGATTATTAAATGTAGTATTCTTATCCTTCCCTTGTGAAATGAGAGGGAAAATCCTTGACGATCACACAATTAAAGGCTTCTCCTAAATTTCCTCAGTGTTTTTATTAATTTGCGAATAGAGTCTGTGCCAACAAGCCTAGCCGATAACAGTCAACTATATATATAATAGTCACCTGTAGTACGAAAGATTTTCAATAAATAGTTTGCATAACTCACTCCTAAGTTCTCCTATAAGTCTGAAATGTCACAAGCGTGATACATCTCTTTAGGTCACAAACCATGCTTATTTTCACGACTTACCTTCCTTAAGTTTTTTTTTCTGCTACCATCAAATGTGTGTATTAAGAATATTGAACTGAGAGCATCGAGTAGTCACCACTCATTTAACCTGTTCTCTGATACTGCCGCCTTCACGTATTCCGCTAGGAGGCGTGACTGCTCTGCTTTCTAGACCGTCCAGGCATAGGCATGTCATCGGCGTTTGTTTGTAGTTTAGTGTGAGAGTACTAGTCAATGAAGTTTATTGCAAATTCATGCCCCGGGGGCTAATTGCAGATTACAAACATAAAAGAAAAATGAAACGTAGTATATGATAAAAGGTAGTTGTCTAGAGCTATAGCTATGTCTAAAACTATATCTAAGGGGTTTGACTTCTCTTCTTTTTTTTTTAACGGTATCGCTCAATGCAAGGCCAATTATATTTGGCCACTTCTAGGCATAGAGCTAGAGGTACTTAGAGGAGTATATTATAGCTATGTCATGAGATGGCGGTGGACCTTTGCTTTGAAGCTTTGTAGATTGTAATCGGACGGAAAGCAGCTGTTTGAAAGAGAGTTCCATAATTTTGCAGTCCGGGGAAAGAAGCTGTTGTTGTAATATGACTTGGAGACAGGTATGTTAACGGTGTATTGATGAGAACTGGAAGAGAACCTAGTGGCACGCTGAAAGGTTCTGAGTGGAGGAACAAGAAGTGCAAGTTCTCCTGAACATCGACCGTGAAAGTATCTGTAGAAGAGGGATAGAGATGCGACATTGCGTCTGTGTGAGAGGGAATCCAGCTTTGCGGCCAGAGAATGACCGATGGCAACACAGATTCTCCTTTGAATGCGATCTAAAATATGTAGGCAGTCTTTTGGGGCACCAGCCCAGAGATGCGAGCAATACTCCATGCAAGGACGGATGGTGGATTTGTACAGATACAGAATACTTGCAGGAGTGAGGTAGTTTCTGGCTCGAAGCAGTGAGCCTACTTTCATAGCTGCTGATTTGGCTATGGATTCGATGTAGTATCTCCAGGACAAATCCTTGGAGAGAATAAGACCGAGGAGACGGAGACTATCATTCTCCCGCAACTCGTTGCCATTCATGGATATAGGTGGAAGAAAGGGTTCCCGGTATCTGTTTATGGAGAGGAGTTTTGTTTTTTGGGCGTTGAAAGTGACTATGGAAGACATAATGTCCCACCTTTTCTAAAATTAGTGGGTTCTGGGAAGTTAAAAGAAGAATAGTTTTTTCTTGGTCTGTAAGTTTAGTAAAATTGGGATTGTAGAAGTTTGAATAGTTAACTCATTTCGAGCGTCGCTATGAAAGGAACAATTTGAGATAAAGTGTATTTCGTCTTCCACAGCCTTTGCATTACAATATTTACAAATTCTTTCATATACTGGTAACCTGGAAGGCTTAGGTTTGCAGGACACTGTCACAGGAGCAGAGAGGAGATTGTGGCCGAGCTGGTACTGTGGACTCCCAAGCAAGGGAGGAGGAAGGCCGGCAGACCGGCTGCAACCTACATAGACTGCCTCAGGAGAGACACTGGCCTGGAGGTGGACTACTTGGGTCAAGTGATGGAAGATAGGGAGTGTTGGTCAGCCATTTTGTCTCGAGGCCAGGGACATCAGGACTCGACATAAGTCAAGTAAGTCAAGGTAACCTTTTATACCGTCCTCTCTCTATCTCCAGAGGATGGACGCTAACTCTAATTTTGCTAATGGCTGAGCGTAGTTCGAAGTCTGCCAGATTAAGATATCGTTCTATGTTGTACATAGTTTTATATTTTGCATAAAATCTTAACTTACCACTATCAGTTGACAAAGTATGAAAAATATCTGTAAGTCACAACGTGAGTTATCGGAATGCCACAAAAAGGAATATCCATTGTGATCTAATATATCTTTAACATGTTGCAGTAAAGTTCGTCTACGGGTATTTGTCGGAAGGCTATGCTGTAAGAGGAGTGCGTCCATTTGAAGGGGGTGTGAAGTTGTCTCCATTTGTACCAGTCGTAACCTGAACTTAACTACATATATACAAATATCTATATCTAAAGGAAATCTAATTCTGCTCTACATGCGATATTGCTACTATTTCTAAAAACACCGAGAATACTTTTACAAAACTGATTGTGTACATTTTCGATAGATGAGGTATCTTGTCGTTGTTCAGTCCCCCATATTTGACATCCGTACAGAAGGATCGGCTTTACACGTGGCAAATATGTTTAGGAGGCTATGCGGTGATACTGATAAACGAATAATTGATTTGAAACTATAAAAGGCTTTACGTGCCTTCAGTGACAGCTGCTTTTTAGTCAGGGTGAAGCTACCTGATGATGTAAGGGTTACGCCAAGCTAGCAATAGGAGGAAACGTTGTCTATTGTGTTGTGTTCAAAGTAGAACTTTTGTTTTGGAACGGAACGGTCAGCTTTGTTAGATATAACAACTTTTTTTTCAAATTTACTTAGAGCTAAAGAATTAAGTGCTGTTGCTGTTATGGAGAAGGTGAATAAAGAAACAAAATGGTGTTTTACATGTAATTGAAAGATGCTGAAAAGACGGCACATCATTGTGTAGTCGCTAGATTGTGCCATCGAGTAATGTGAGAGGGAAGTAGAAACTACGTACGCCAAACGGGTACGTTTCTTTTGTAGGTGTCCCACTAATAAGGACCGTTTGATAACAAAAGGGACAGTCCATCGGTTTGCATTTGTTACCTATCCCATCGAATTATACACACTGTCCACTTACACACAGAGGATGCCTTATGTGAGCGTCGTCAAACAAATCTAGCCTCCACCAGGCCTGCCTATACAGGGGTACGGGTCGTATAATTCGGCAAAAAGGGAAATTGTTGACAGACTCTCTCACATACCTCTTAATTAAGAAAACAATTTAAGATATTTCAAAGTAAGGTTTGTGTAATATGTTAAGATGTATACGTGGACTAGACATAGCCTCCTTCGCAGTCTTGTTGGGCGTGGGCGTAATTTTTTCTCTGAGCGACGCTTAGTAATATGCCGCCGCGAGGGACGATTTGCTGCCGAGGGACTTTTGCCACGGAGAGAAGGTTTCCGCGCTCCAAACCTTCTCTCCGTGGCAAAAGTCCCTCGGCAGCAAATCGTCCCTCGCGGCGGCATATTACTAGCGTCGCTCAGAGAAAAAATTACGCCCACGCCCAACAAGACTGCGAAGGAGGCTAGACTAGACACGTCATTAATGTTAAGACGACCGTGTAGATGCTGTTACCCGATGATGTTGTCAGTCCGTCGTCCGATGTGAACCTGCCATTGAAGCCAAAGTAAACACAAGCGAAGCTTTGAACAGATACTGGGCATAATACATAGCTGTATGGTCTTTGCGAGTGTGAAAGGTAGTCCATGCTTGACTTGAAAAGAAAAGGTGTGGACGCAAAAGAGACGCCAAACTGCTGTAACAGAACACCAAACGGGCCTCCATGTGAGGAAGATGACCTTGGTTTTACTCTGTCTTTTGGACGGACAACTAGTTGTGTTTTTACTAAACTTCCTACCTTTCTCGGACTGATATTGAAGTATATTTCAGGAGAAAAAATTCAGCTGATCTTCCTGACAGCAAGTAAATGCTGGTCAGGCCGATAATTTATTAAATTGAAGGAACTACTTATTACGTTAAGTGTCTTGTTTTTGCCGCGGATGAATATGAGAGGTAAAACGGTGTCGGTGACACGAAACACATACCTGAGAGTAAGCTATGTTAAAATTTGGGGAAACGTGGCATCATACCAATTATATGGCGACGCAAATCCCCCTTTTACCGTGCGACTACTGACACGGTTTTTCTTCATGCTTGGACAGGCCTCGAGTAAACGACTATGTAACCACTGCATAGTTTACCCCACCCGAAATTGGGTGGGCACTTGGGCAACTTACGTACTTAGTTTGAACACCTAGTGCTTAAAGGCGCCTAATCTGAATCATACAACTGATCCAACATGCTCAGGTGGTGTTCAGTGTATTTCAAACTGAAAGTGGTGGTATCAAGCGATAGGTTTCTACAGGATTTTTTTTTCAGGAAGACCTTGTAACTTTTTAGTGTATAGTTTGCGTTTTACGAAAATGATAATATACTTAAATGCTACAGTCATTTAGTGACTTTATCATTACATGATACACTTTTGAACATTTGTGTTTAATTATCTATAATCCTTCATCTATTACAACTTGGGCAGGGCTGTGTTATCTCACAAGTAAAGTACAGATATTAGTCTTGACATTTGTCCAAAATGTTTTATTGAAAACTTCAAACCATGAAGCAAGATAAATCCAGCAAACCACCAATAAGTACACACGTTGTCTTACTTGAACTATTGTCACCACTCTTTATCTGTATAGCCGGTATAATTGCCCTTCTGTGTAAAACACCAGCTTCACAGGCACACAGTGCAGCGGCAGCTGGCAATATAACACTGAACAACCTGTCACACCTAATCTTTGTACATCTGAGCACATTGTTCTCCCGGTTTATCTCAGCTTCAACCGACAGTCTTCTATTCTAACCCTGACACCTACAGCACTTTGGTATAAGATCCTATAAATGGCATGTGACAGTTCGTATATTGGGCTTTGATGCATCAGCAGGAAAACTTGTAAATCGTGATGACACTTCCGTTGATATCTTCAAAGCCGTAAAATTTCATTCTGAATCAGTTCCTCGTTCAACTCAACTCAATTTGACATTGTAATGATATAAGGCCCTGCAAAGTCTCGCCTACATGTATTACTAGTATGCTATCCGGTCAGCGAAGCTGTCGATTGTCTGGATGAATAAAGTAGAATGTCTGCATCTCCCCACTCCATTCGTATCCTGCCATCCAGTATTCCCTGCGGCCACCTTCTCTGAATTTGCCTTCCCAGTAGATCGATGCACCTCTCCACATACACCTGTTTCTTCTTTGCGCTTCATCATACGCCATCCGACAGCAGACCGCAAGACGTTCATCTGGCCATACCCTCGGATCGTAAACAGTTTTCAAGTTTGGTCTAAACTTGAACAGAGTCCCACGTCTTCTACACGTCGAAGGCCCAACAGGTGCTGCACCGTTACAGTCGCATGTGGTACAGCGGGCCATTTCCCATACACGTCCGTCATGTGGTACAATTGGCTGATGTCTACCGGAGTCTGGATCGTGTACATCTTGGCGACACGTTACCAGAGCGGTGTACACTCCCTTGGGAAGGCGGCCTCCTGGTAGTTTAGTGACTGCAGCCACGACTAAACCCCTGGACTGAGCGCTCAAGAGAGAGTGGGAATTGTGACACCCACTCACGGCACAACCGTTCTCGATTCTAAATCTGCGATTGTGATCTAGAGCACGGCGAAGATCAAATAGGGGCCCAGCGTGAGCCATATCGAAAAAAAAATTGGTAATGTTCCAAGGGAAAATTCATTCTTAAGACAGAACCTACTCGTGATCAAATATTAAGACAGGGCTGTTCCGTTGGTGGTCCTGCCATCTACCATATATAATGGTCAGTCCCGGAACAACTTTGAAACGTCATAGGTCACTTAGCAACCTCACCTGAGGCACCAATCAGTGTGTGTAATGGCCTCAGCAGGTGCGCCAGTGCGTGTACGTGTACAGGTACAGGGCAGTGAGTCACGGCCGACATCTTATAACTACGAAGGCCCACAATGACACTTCCATACTGCTCTTCCGCGGCCCTGCCATACCGCGCTAAGATTCAATTCTATTTTGAAGATTATAAATAGATGAAAACTGTTTTTAAAATGTAGAATATATTGCGTATTTTAGTATTATGATCTTTAAATGTTGTAAGTAGTAATTTCAATTTGAGGTATTTCTGAATATTTCGAAATGTAATAAGATATTAGTAAGTGTAACATGCTCGCGACTTTTGTACAAACCTCACAATTCAGCCGTGAGGCTGTGATGGGTTTTGGTTTTCAATGGGGGGGGGGGGGTGCAGGGCCTCGGTGCAGCGCTGTGTGGCAGGGCTGTGGAAGGGGTGTATGGCAGGTATAGGCCTTGGCAGTGCGCCGTGGAAGGGCTGTGGAAGAGGTGTATGGTAGGTATATCTCTTTGGCAGCGCTGTGTGGCAGGGCTGTGGAAGAGGTGTATGGAAGTGTCGTTGTGGGCCTTCGTATATAACAGAACATCATTACACTTCTGCTTACAACATGGCTACCCCTTTGTGGGCACGGAAGTTTTCCTGTACATGGATCAACGAGGGGCGGCTAGACATGTCTGGGTTTCGTAAGGACATGCCCGCGTGTCTGAAGCTCTACCTAACCTCCATACGGTGGTCAGAAGAATGGACGGAGGCTCTGGAAATGATACAAGATGGCGAAGGGCATTGCTTTGCCAATGAAACTGGAATTGTATTTTCCAAGGAATCGGCTAGCGACCCGAGTAGTGAAGAGCTCCCGAATAGCGAAGTTGCATTCTTTGCGGGGTGCTTCCCGAAAGACCGAGTGAAGAAGACTGTGTTCCTAAGCATTATGGAGACATGTTTGAAAGAACGTAGAAAGCAATGTAAGTGTCCCGCTTTAGACGGTGAAGAACAGTTATGTTCAGATGGTGCTACCATATGATGGAATTGGCACGAAAACTCTCGCGAGACAACGAGTCTCCAACACGTGACCCCGAAGAGAGCTTGTCGGGACATGCACGGACAATCCTTCATTCTGCAGTTCGTCACGCAGCGAAACGAAGTCCAAGGGTGCCACAGATCAAGAACTAACCGGCCAGGAAATCAAGGGTAAGTGTGTGACTTGTACGGTCAGAATGTTTTCCATCAAATATCAAGCCCTTTGAGTTTCGAATTTTAAACTTTTTTCCGTTTATTTTTATTTTTATTTTTTTTATTTTTTGTCGTGCCCCGCACTATTTTGGTCTAAACCCTTCTAAAGATTTTCCTAGAGTAGAAACTTCATATGTATCAGCTTTATTATTTAGGCTATTCAATTTAATGAAACACATTATGGACAAACTAGTAGCAAATTGCAGAACAGTTAAGTGTAGGAAACATGTCATAGCGCCGTGGTCATAGGTGTAAGGCGAGCGTGTTGATGTCACTCCGCCAGAGCCTAATCAAGCCGTTACAAACCTGCCTTTGAGCAAATAGACCTTTGAAAATATAGTGAACATAATAAAGCCATTGCCATGCTTGATTGGTCCTTGAAAGTGTGAATGGTGATTCATGCTTGACTTGGCCGGGGACAAAACATGTTGACACACAAGGATCGAATGTTGTAACTGAACACCAGTCGACCCTCCAGGTAAAATGGGTGGCGTTGGCTTGTTTTTTTAGAAGGACAGCTAGTTGTGTTTTTACGGAATATCCCACCTTTTTTCGTGGATATCGATGTGTATTTGAGAACAAAAACTTCAGCAGATCCTCTTCACGCAAGTAAATGTGGCCCAGACTGATAACTTGTCTACCTGTAGGAACTACTTATTACCTTAAGTGGTATGTTTTTGTGGCGTATGAATATGATAAAGGGGGTGAACAGGCCACGAAACATACACCCGAGACTAACCTACCGCCTACTTTGTGTACCTTTTGACATGCTTGTCATATACATATGAATTTCTTAGTACGCTGTAATGTCAGATCAACAAAGTGCTACAGAACAGGTAACCATATATCACCGAGTGTACAGATCATGTGTAATGTAGGGGCGAAGGCTGGACTACAGGAAACAATGGCGTTATGGAGCATTAAAATTCAGTGAAATTCATGCAAAGAACTTTCTGTTGGTGATATTTACAAGTTTATTGATCTTGGAAGCTCTTCAAGAATACAAAATTAATGTTGCATTTTGCTGTAATTTCACTGTTAGCATAACAGCCCTGTCTTAAATTGTGACAGATCATTAAATAAGTTAGCAAAAGCATCAAGTGTATATGGACTAGATATGATTATGGCAATGTGTTGTTAATATTTTAGTGAACAAATCAAGATGAGATCAACTGACAACTCAGCTACAATGTGTCTTAACCGACACTTGACATAATCTTGTTGTTACCACCATTAAAGGTAAACGAAAGAAATCCCCAGAGGTGGTGCCAGTCAGGAGCAAGATCAGGAGGAGTGAGAGATCACCTGACGTGGCGTCAGGCAGAAGCATGAGGATAGGTGAGTACAGCATGATTTGCTCTATATATAAAGGTAGAAGGTACATGACGCTTGCCCCCAAACAAAGGGTGGGATGTAAATGACTTCAAACTGCATAGGGCAGGTGGGTCAGGCAATGCAGAAAGGAAATCAGATAGCTAAAATCGCACAGCTTATACTGTCTATCTATCTTACATTGATTACAGGTGGAAAGAGAAAATCCAAAAAGCGGCATCTAGGCCAGACCAGCAACAGTGCCCCCTCGGTAAAACGACCAAAGAAAGGTATGGTTGTAAAAGAAACACGAGCAAAGATTATATTTATAAAATTGATAACAATGAAATTTCAACCAGTAACTCAGTTATCTTTTTTTAAGTTCTCAGCTAAGGAGAAATATCCATGTAGCAAAAAAAACTTCTTGGTCCATTGCAGTACATTTCAATCTAAAGGGTATTTAACCACTTATTTTTCTAATCTGGAGGCTATCGCAGCAGGCATCCCTGTGCTCATCTCTAACGAGTCCGGCTTGGCAGACATGGTCAAGGACTTGATCAAGGACAAGAAGTGCCCTACAGATATGAGGGACAGGATCGTGGAAACAAGTATGAGGGAGTCCGTACTAATTAGAACTGCAAAAAAATGGGCAGAGAGGATCGTGAATATGTTGAAGTTCTTAGAGTCTGAATTCCGGAAAGCAGCGGAGATCAAGAAGGCGCTCTTCGCATCCCGGTACTGGGAAGAGTCGCACCAAAACTTGCTGCGTGTCTGTGGGTTGATTGATTGTCAATGAATAACTTTAAATATCAATAGACAACAATGTCAATGTTTTGCTGGTTAGCTTGGAGGCATCACTGTAGTCATATGCTCAGTCACTGCACAGACTTGCAGGCTAGCTAAAGGACTTGATACTAAGTTGAAAGAGCACTTCAAATTTACGATCCTGGTCACATATGCAAAGCAGGCAAACAAGATCTTATGCCAATATGTGCTTTTTACAACTGAATCCAAAGTTGAGCATTTCTAAGCAGCACTTGGGTAGTAGGCAGGTTCGAGTGTGTGTGTGTGTGTGTGTGTGTTGTGTGTGTGTGCTAATAAAATGTTAATGATACATATGTGATTTCAAATTATGTATATATGCACATTTATATCCTTTTTTTACCTTCCCCAAGGTTATATTTTCAGTAGCGTTAATGTGTCTGTGTGTGTGTGTGTGTGTGTGTGTGTGTGTGTGTGTGTGTGTAAGTGAAACGTACTTTCATGTACTATGTAAGTGAAACTTACTTTCATGTATTATGTAAATGAAACTTACTTTCATGTACTATGTAAGTGAAACTTACTTTCATGTATTATGTAAATGAAACTTACTTTCATGTACTATGTAAATGAAACTTACTTTCATGTACTATGTAAATGAAACTTACTTTCATGTACTATGTAAGTGAAACTTACTTTCATGTAATATGTAAGTGAAACTTACTTTCATGTACTATGTAAATGAAACTTACTTTCATGTACTATGTAAATGAAACTTACTTTCATGTACTATGTAAGTGAAACTTACTTTCATGTACTATGTAAGTGAAACGTACTTTCATGTACTATGTAAGTGAAATGTACTTAAGCCTGATGACTGCGATCTTTTACATAATAAACCAGTCATTCATTCATTGATAATTCCATATTGGTTAATGGCGGGAATTGCATACTTGCGGCATTTGGAATACAATTCAATACATAAGAAATAATATATTCCAATTTCTATCAGGACTTAATTTGCATAATTCATGGGGAAATGCTATAATAGCTTTTTCTTTTTAGAATAAGACTATTGTTGGGTGGGGAATATGAAAAACTGATATAATTCATGCAAATGATGAACCTATTTGCACAATCAGTGAGACAATCATTTATGATTCGTCAAGCATAAAGGTTAACATTGATTGGCAAAGGTATGAGATCGTGGAACTCTAGTTGGCAGTGGGTTTTCTAGTTTTTAATCAGATGGATGCAAAATTGTAACGTTATTGGAGCGATAAGTTTGTTTTTATCGGACTGTCTTCTACCCCAAGCAGAGGTAAGGATGTAAAAACCGGAAAGTTTTCTGCCAAGCTATGATTTCAGACAGACCGAATGTAGAGAACTACTCTCTGATGTCAGACGCTTGAGAGAAGGATGTAGCTTCTTTGCAGAGGTGTGTCGATTTTACCGCCATTCACGAGTTTCCCATCCCCAGAATGCATTGCGAAAACAGGGGTCTAAACCTCATTTGCATAGGACAGGAAGGCATCGGAATGATCCTGTTGACGTTAAACAGCTTGTTTCTCAGTGTGTTTTGAGGCGTTGGGGCATTTTATGCTCAACGTTAACTAAATTACTATGGGTTGAATCTGGCAACAAATAGAGAATGGATTTTTGGAATATGTGGTTTGTAACGTTATAGTTGTAACGCTATACTGATGCTGTAACGTTACAAACCACATGTTCCATGTGGAAAAGAACACAAAAACTTCATTCTCTATCTGTTGTCAGATTTGACCCATAGTAACTTAATTACTGCTGAGCATGAAATGCCCCAACACCTCAAAACACAGTGAAAAACAAGCAGTTTATTGTCAACAGGATCATTCCGATGCCTTCCTGTCCTATGCAAATGAGCCTTAGACCCGTTTTCGCAATGCATTCTGAGGATGAGAAACTCGTGAATAAAGTACACATTCATTGCATTTTAAAGACAGACTCAAGAGCAGAAGCACTTGTTCTGGTTAGGTTAGAATTAAATGTAAACAGAGAAATTCCCAATTTTCCCACTTAACTCAGGTGCAAATGAGTACATGTATGTCTGTTCGTCTGCGTTGGTCGTGGCATAAAATAAGTTGAAAAAAAAACTTGAGTGTGCCGTCGCTAGGACTTGTGTGATAAACGTTGGAATAGAAAACAAAAATTCACAATCATGTGTCACCGAACAGTATATTGAACGTTTCTGCCGAACTAAGAGCCGGCGATGCCACCTATCAACGAACTGATCCATGGTACGAAATCCATCTTCTCCAGAGACGGAATGTTGCCAACATTGAACGTTTCTGAAAAGCCTTGAGGCATTTCGAACCGCATCAATATTAATTTGTACGTTGTCACTAAAGTAAACGTGTACTTTTACTAAGTAAAAGCGCCAAACATAATAGAGATGAGGTCCCAGAAGGTACGAGGACAAAACGAAAGGAGGAATGTTTCAATGGTTCAAAATTATTTCAATGAATGAATGAATGAATGAAGACCTTTATTGTACAAAAATGCCCACTGGGTTAGGTACAAAGGTTAACTTGAATACACAAATATATACACAACAAGATCAATCTAGTACTAGCACTACAGTCTGTTACATAATTTCGACTTCTCTTCGCTTCTCTGTGATGTTGAAAAGATAAGAGCATACAAGTTTAAGGATGAGTTGTGGGCTCACCATGGTTTAGCCACTTGAAACCAGTTCAGATTGCCTATTTGCAATGCTGTCAAGTAACTCACCTATCTGTAACAATGGATATATCATCCAAGATCTAAGAACACGCATTTGTACAGAAAGCCCAACATATGTTCACAATTTTTGTAAGCACTATACAACAAATTAGGGTTCAGGAAATGAGGTTAACCTGTATGGATGACGTATTATTAAGGTTGGTTTCTAATTGCTAATGCAAATAAGGTTCTGAATTACATAATCACTTGTTACTCTCCTTCTTAACCACTTTTGAAAGCAATAATGATTTCATTGATTGATTGGAGGAGAGTCCTGTCATCGATCACTAAACAGTTACGTCGAATATGTTCCAGAACCACTGATTTGATTGACCTGTCATGTATTTGTATTAACCGTTGCCTAATTATAATGTCTGCACAGTAGGTCTGGCGTTGACGCTTGGGATTATTTTTGTTGCAATATATAAAACTTCACGGAGGATTGACACCTATGGCTTCTTGTTCTACTTTTGTGCATGCTGGCATCCATTTGCCATCTATGGGATGTTAATAAACAGGCACTTTTTACATCCAAGGGTTTTATTCGGGCGACGTTTTTGTGACCATCTGTCGCCTTCCTCAGGGCAATTCTGACGTCCTGACTTGTTCACATTGCACTGCAGCACAGGTGTCGCTGCAATATAAATACGTTTAGGAACGCATCTATAGCCTCGGTCACAACCCGCCGTGCGTACTTTTTGTCCACGGAGTAGGTTTTTTTTGGGGGGGGGGGGCACGTATGTTACTATTTTCTGTAAACGTGGGGAAGGAGTGGCGTCAACGCACGTGACTCGCACGGTTGCGCAAGGTGTAAGAGTGTGGTCTGCACGCCACGTCTGGCCGTGAGCGGTTACGTGCATCGTACGTTGCGCAAGTGCGATTGCAACTTTACCGTAAGGAGGCCGTACTCACATTTGCGTCTTTCGTACGTACGTACGGGGCACGCGCGTCGCCCGTACTCGCACGCACGGGTGGTGAATCCGCAGACCGCACGCAGAAAAAGGTTTACATACACTTAAAGTTCTGCGGCGTGTCTGCGTGCTTCCCAATCTGTAGCTAGGATTCCGTACGGAGGCGGTACTCACCACGCACGGATGCCCTACGTTTGCCCACGTTTTTGTACGTAGACAGCACGCAGAAGCACGTACGGCGGGTTGTGACCGTCGCTTTAAAGCAGCGACACATGTGCTGTGCAATTTGAACCAGTCAGAATCGTCCTTATGAAAGTAAAAAAACGGTCACTGAAACGTCAGACGACTAACACACTTTGTTGTGTAAAAATAACCTGTTTTTTCAGTGATTTACCAACCTGATACAATTATCCATCAATGGAATCTTGTTCTTCGAATTTTTAGAACCGTTCAAACCGAACAGAATACGGAACAAAAAAACGAATGAAAACACTCGTGAGAAAAAGCGTATAGTAGACGTTCCCAAATTGTGTGACAGTGCTTTACTACTGAAGACTAGCACTGTACATGATTGTATATATATAAGATGGATCCCAAGGTAATCTTTGCAAGTGCAGAGGAGAAAAGGACTCATCCCAGAAGAAATAACAAGGACAAGTTGTTCCGACTTCTCGTGTACCATCGGCTGGGTGTGTTAACGTTACCGGAGAAGCAAGAGTTACAGGAGTTGTTAGAGGAGGAAAGAAAGAAGGATCTGACGAGAATTACACGTGAACAGGGATCCTCTACAGAACTCCAGGCAACCAAGGGTGACATACGCCAGGTGAGCACGAATACTTATGTTGTCAATCACAATTACCAGGCCCGGTGTTGGCCGGGCAGCTTGCGGAATAGAAAAGCATGTTACTCTGCCATTTCATATTCCACTGCACAAAGAAAGGAAATCAAACCCAACAATAACTTTATCAAAAATATTATCATTTTTTTATGTTTATTATTCCATCATGTTCATTAGCGCGGGCATGGATTTGCAGTGAACTTTCTATTACAGACAACAAAACTCCCACAAAAAGTTTTTTAAAAAAACAATAAAGAGCAATATTCCCGATCAGCATTCTTGACATGCATTGTTTATTTTCGTTTACTGGTGTGTGTGTGTGTGTGTGTGTGTGTGTGTGTTTGTGTGTGTGTGTGTATGATTGCGCGTGTGTGTGTGCGCGTGCGTATTTGACAGGGAAGGAAATATCCTTCCGCGGAAGGGCACTGTTTCCGGTAATGTTTACATGTTCGCAGCTGTAACTCATGGTAGGTTTGACGGATTTCTACCGTGGCCGACAAGAACAAAATTACACCGCAACTTTTGGTGTTTTACACCGCAACTTTTGGTGTTTTACACTGCAACTTTTGGTGTTTTACACTGCAACTTTGGGTGTTTTACACTGCAACTTTTGCTGTGTTTTACACTGCAACTTTTGCTGTGTTTTACACTGCAACTTTTGGTGTTTTACACTGCAACTTTTGCTGTGTTTTACACTGCAACTTTTGCTGTGTTTTACACTGCAACTTTTGCTGTGTGGAATACTTACACCCCTCCCCTTTTATAATGGACGGTCCCCCTGTCAGGTCAAAGGTGACAACGATGGCATGCAAACTACGTCGACTGAGTTATCCTTTTTGTGCATAAGTTTTTTAGAGGAAAATCTTGGCTACGTTGTGACGTTAGTTTTTTTCTAAAGGTTTTTCTAGCTTTGGCCTATAGACCGGGATAAATTTAAAAATGTTTCGACCAGGTCCAGTGATTACAAATTATGTTGCTTTTTGCTGCCATGCGTCACTACTAATTTATCAAGGACGTCAGATATCCAGCTCCAGACATCAACAGCAATGACATAAATTTTCTGCAGGTTAGTTCATTATTATTGGGTATGGACATCGTTTTTCTTCATTTTAATGTCCCTAGACGTCAGCCGCCACCATCTTTGTCACCTTTGACCTGACAGGGGGACCGTCCATTATAAAAGGGGAGGGGTGTAAGTTTTCCACACAGCAAAAAGTTGCAGTATAAAACACAGCAAAAGTTGCAGTGTAAAACACCAAAAGTTGCAGTGTAAAACACCAAAAGTTGCAGTGTAAAACACAGCAAAAGTTGCAGTGTAAAACACAGAAAAAGTTGCAGTGTAAATCACAGAAAAAGTTGCAGTGTAAAACACCCAAAGTTGCAGTGTAAAACACCAAAAGTTGCGGTGTAAAACACCAAAAGTTGCGGTGTAAAATTTTGTACTTGTCGGCCACGGTAGATTTCTTTGTTTTTTGATAAGGCCACACCGACTTTATTTTATGGATGACATCCGCGCGCGCATTGATTTTCACCTGTTCTAAAAAAAAATCACGTTCTGGCCTGGGTAGTCCATGGTAGTTAGCGACAATACGAAGGTGGTAACTCTGGAGGATGGCACCCAGGCTACCGAAGCTCCACGACTCGAGAACTCAGTGTACTGTGTCGATTCATACATTCTGCAAAAAGCCAGCATGTGCCGGCTTGTCGTATACGTCGCTAAGTACTACCGAAAATTCACAATACCAGCTTTGTATTCCTGTGGTTTAAGAGCATTTTTATTTTTGGCCGGAATTTCTTTATTCGCCCGCGCCACTAGTTCTTCAGAGGGGGTCTTCAGAGGATGTCATCCATAAAATTTAGTCGGTGTGGCCTAATACAAATATGATCCATTATTGGGATCTAGATGATGTGGACTGTTTTTGCTTCATTGTACAAAATTGAATGTTTCGGTATTTTCAGGATATTTGCAATCTTATATTTCTTGTTGTTAAAACTGTTTTCAGGAATGGTTGGTTTCTGAAGCCGTACTGGCTTGGGGTGACTCAGTGATAGCCAGCCGCGCGGAACGGCAGCCTGACGCACACAAACACCGCCTGGACGCCGCTAGACTTGCCGGTGACGAGGGCAAATTTTTACCGGCCTCTCAAACGCACCAACAAGAAGACAAGATTGAGGAAAAACTTCTCTCATGTCAGAATCACAGAATCGACGCCTGGGCGCGGCTCCGTGACTGTGAGATCACGTCTAGTGACGACGAGAACTGTGACGGAGATACCCTGATGTTCTGCGGCCGGACACTGACATACACAAGTCAGCAAATATCTTTCGAAAACTTGCCAACATTTTAGGACTTTTTAGGCTTTGAAAATAACATCTCTTGACTCATACGCCCCTTCCTTTTGCACAAGTAAATCAGTAGTGGTCCATTGGATTTCTGCAAGCAAACAGAAATACAAATATATTTTGAATTGACTGTTCAGTAACAATGTGGAACACAATTAAAGCACCTCCTGGAATTTCGAAGTGGCATTATTGTTTACAAGAATATCACATGCCAAGCATCTTACTGTAGATGGCATAAGATTTGTGTATCAAAGAAACATCACATCTCCATTGTAAATCAAGTTTTTAATCAGCAATAATGATAAATTATTGGAATGATAAAGCAAGTACTCATATTGCATTTTTATACAATACACTTCCCTTCTTGTGCTAAACATCTACAATTGCGTTTCATTTCTGGCCAACAAGTGCAAAAATATAGCCTGGTTTAATACCAAACCTATTATAACTCCCGAGTCTGCATCTGTGTGGCCGGTATAACCGCCTTTTGGCGTAACACATCAGCTTAACAGGCACGCGGCGCGGTGGCAGCTGGATACATTACACCGATCGACTTGTTACACCCAACCCTAACAGCATCTAACTCTAGGCCACACCAATTTAATTTCTTGGTTAACGGATTCGCCGCTTCATTTTTTTCTGATTTGCAAATAAAAATAAAAATTCAGAATCAACTGCAAAATGCTCATATTTTGCACTGAACAGTTGAAAACTGTCCTTTTCTTTCTAGTTGTTACAATTATTCCATATTTCAATGCAGTGGTATCATTAAAAGTTCAAAATTCATTGTTTAAATTTTGAACCAGCCTGGTGTGTTTGAGTTCATGGCTCCTATCGTACCATTTCGGGCCATAATAGGATGCCTTGGCCTGTTTTTATTTTTTCATTTTTTTCGCCCGCTCGCTCCATTATTTTTCTAGAAAAATCCGTTAACCAATAAATTAAATTGGTGTGGCCCTAGGCACTGTTTAAAGCTATCTAATGACAATGCCCCTACTGTACTTGGTGACAGCCAGTTCCACTTTGCGATAGTTCTAGGAAAAAATGAGTTCTTGAACACTTCAATCCTTGGTTAATAACTCTGGTACTTGAAGGCATGGCTTACAGCCTCTCCACAAATATTTGCAAGCAAAAATATAATAGTGTATTCCTTGACTCCTAAAGTTGGAAAGTACATGTAACTTTAAGGGCACCTTGTGGGAAGACTTACAATTAATCTTAATTTGCTACACTATATACTCTGTGTTGTAATAACCTAAGTGTACGCAAACAGGTATCATTGTCTGTGGTTTGTGCTAGGAATGACATAGACAGGAAATTAGGTCAAAGATCCCTAAAGGGTTCCTGGGTTATCAGAGGTTATCTTACTTCCTGTCTTGAAAATCTGTTGCCTTATGGGAGCCAAAGGGAAAAGACAACAAAATGTAAAATGTATATTCACACAGAATCAGCAAGAAATTATGAAATAATGAATGAAATAAGATACATGTGTAATCATGAGACTTGCAGAGGTCTTTGATGATTTTTTTAAAATTTTGCCATACTTCATACATCTAAAAGATATTAGTTACTTTATCGTCTGATAAAATTGATATATTAATATCTATCAATTTCATCAGACGATAAAGTAACTAATATCTTTACCTGAGCATACATTGTACACTATAGAAAGACTGGATGCCAGTATATATATTTGCAGATTGTATCAATTATGTCTTATGTCTTAGGCACAATGACACTGCTACAAACACTTATTGTACATGTACATGTAGTCATCTCACTCTAGCCTGGCATATAGTGAAAGGTGCAACAACAACCTATCTATAGTGACCCAGGCGTCAAAATACTGGGTACATATAAGCACTTTGGTAAACCAATAATTGACTGTTGGTGCAGTAGACATTTGTATAAGGTACTATTGGACACTAGTATTGGACACTGGCTATTTTTCACATCTAACACACACTATCAATTAATGACCTTTGGCCAAATTTGTTGCCAGAAGGTTGTGAGAATGGCTGTCAAGTAAGTGTATTGACCAACTGAAACTCTACTGTCACATTGCATGGGATTCAGTTACCCAAAAATGTCTATGTAGTACTGATCATGATGGCAGTTTTTGCAGGTTTTACTGTAAAATGTAATAATTGTTTGAAGGACTCCCTCCATACAAAATATGGCAAACATGTCATTTTACTGTAAATATTTGCAGCACTTCTCCAGCATGACAAAGGGACACTGTAAATACATTTTTTAAATGTTTACCGAAGGAAAACATATCGTTTTTGCTCAGTTTCTTCCTCTTCTTCTTCTCCAAACAGTGACCTATGACCTGACCAATGACATGATTTGTTGACATCTGTCACCATGGTGACTGGTGTTGGGTTACATAATGTTGCAATTTCATGGTCTGCTCTACTCCTGTCACCATATACTAGAAGTAACGTTACATATGTGTGTTTGACTAAGAATCAACAGACTACAGAGCAGTGATTCTTACTCAAACATTGTCCGAAGGGAAACATTACACATTTACTTTGCAAATGTTACTTCTCTAGTTTGCTTGAGTATTACTTCCCATACAAAATACAAAATCCTGCAAAACTAATGACTGATGAAGAAATTTGCCAGTCTGTGAGAGTGTGCAGGTTACGCCAGATCGTAGTCGTCCCGCGCCTCGTTGTACTCCATCACGTGTTGTCTGATCTTGGACGTGTCCACCCACGTGACGAAGTCCTCCATGTTGCGCGTGACGAGGAAAGCGGGGTCCGTGATCAGCTCCGGCCCCACGCGCACGTGTCCCTGCTCGATAAACTGTGTCGCCATCTGGGAACAAACATCAACAAGAAATCTGAGATTTCACGGGGCCTGCATAGGGGGGTCCCGACAATGCTCTATGCTTAATTTTAAGAGCTGGCTAGTACGTATTACAGTAGCTATTGCACTTTACGATAAATCCCAAGTCACTACAACTCATTACATAGAATTAAAACGCGAATTACGCTCTACGCAAAATGTGCCAACACTCTACGTTGAATTAGAGCGGTACGTCTACACTCTTCGTAGAATCAAAACGGCCGATTACGCTCTACGGAAAAGGGCATGCGGGCCCCCATTTCAGACTGCCCCAAGGTATTTTGCATTTTCTTGACCTTCAAATTCACTCCAATCAGTATGTCTGACCTTCTAACCTGTTATTCTGCCAGTCAATCTCCCCCCCCCACCCAAGTGCCTGCTGTCAACCTACTCTCAAGTTTATCCCATTTCCCGTGTCTGACCTTTTGACCTGTCATCCTGTCAATCTTGATTCTTCCCAAGTGCTGTTAACCTACAAAATATACTCTCAAGTTTATCCCTTACCATGTATCTGTCGGACCTATAATTTGATCTGTTATTTTTTCTGACAATGTACTGTGTACCAGTACTGTGTACAAAGTTACCCTACCCACCTGTAATGTCTGAGCCATCCGTAGTTTGACCATGATGACAGGAAGTCTCCTCCTACAGAAGCTGGAGGCTGACACCCTGGTGACGTTAGCCAGGTTCCTCTTGGTGGGGATCAGCCCCAGAACGTACATCTTCTCCAACAGTCGCTCGCTGCACTCTGTCCTGAACGGGTCCTTGAGTAAGAAAAACATGTCAGGAAGCCCTATCTAGCAGGTTTACGTCATGAAGGCTGCACTTGATACACTAGATCGATACACTCCAGCCAGGTCTTTTTATAGTCCAGCAGCATAGCTGGCAAAATCAGCTGAGTTGTGCACTTTTGTCTAAAAGCACCAAATTTGGCACACATGTAGTTGAACATATTGACAATGTACACAAATTTGGATATGGAGGCATTTCCATTTCTGCCCAGAAGCACCGTGACGTCATCTTGAATTTAGAACCCTCAAAATAGGCGAGGCGATCTAGTTTCTTAATTAAGAGGGAGGGGCAAAAAATTAAACATCAATATTTATTTGTACACCACCATAACCCACTACAAGGTATACAAGCTAATTTTGTTTCAACATTGCTGTTCTAGAAAAGTCTTTAAATCCCATTTTTTCAGTAATTTTTATCTATAATTATTCAGTAATAGTACCTATAGCTATGAGATCTTTGTTAATATGCAAATCTGATTAGTCACAGTATGGACAACATGTCGTCCTTTAAATGGAGAAAATCCGTCCACTCTAACAGGAGATATGAGATTTTATAGATTATTACTCTTACTGATTTTAGGTCTTCCCGACCTCTGCTGCCAGGCAGATGCATTTAAATGATGTTGTTTTAACATACATGTACAGCCACTGGTGCATGTTACTTACTATACATTTGTTACATTGAAACAAGACTTAGCGATTATTAAACACTTACCTCAACATTCAGCTCTTTTATCTTTTCCACCAGATTTCTGACTTCTCGGCTAAGTTTGTTATACCTGGAAATTCACACACAAAAAAACACAGATTGTCACAATAAATATTGACTGTAATCTAAAATTGTGAACTCTGAAATGAAAAAAAAAAAGTATTACCTTCTTCAGTCATTTTGACATAAATAAAATACTTATATACTGTAATGCGGCCCGGGCTTCCAAATGCTCCATAGAACAATTTGAACACGTTACGCCCTAACCGCATGCACCGCTTTCGAAAATTTGAATACAAAACTCGGACGTTGGAATTGATGTTGTTACATTTTTTGGGCGGGTTAGGGACACTAGATTTTCGCTCATTTCGCATTGAAAGTCGTGTTTTCTTGGGTGAGTATGACATAAATAAAATACAACACGGTGTATTCCGCATCACCCTCGGTCCCAGCCCTCCCGCTTATCAGATCTCTCTCTGGCCTTCGGGTGATCCGACGCGTGGTTGGTCTGGTACCTCGGGCGAAACGGAATACCCCGTGTTGTATTCTATGTTTATTTTGCACATTCACATTCTAATGCAATATTTTTGTTCAGGGCTCGAAATACTGTGTGCATGTGCACCTTAGTGCAACCAAAATTGGAGCACTAGCTGTGTACCCAATTTTTTCTGTGGGTGCACTGGTGTACCCAAATATTTTGTAGGCATTTTTGTACATATTACATGTATACAGTAATACTTGATATTCTTGGCATCTAAGTGTCAGAAAATCTTTGTTGTAGTGCTTGATTAAGATTTTGAAGGTAGCTCCCATTTTAGATTCAAGCTCAGAAGAGGAGCAGTAAGATCTGTAATTAGGTTTTGTTTTATATGGTGCACCCAAAAAATTTTTCTGTGCACTTAAATTTTTAGGTCGGGTGCACCAGTGCACCTATTCCCAAAAATGAATTTCGAGCCCTGTCCTTACTTGGTATAATCCTCCCTGCGGTTGATGTGGTATTTCCTCATGACCTTGACCTCCTGAAGGTTATTGTCCACGTCCCAGGAGATGAAGTCAACCTTCTTCAGAAGTTTCTTCTCGTGAAACTTCAGCCGACGCATCTTGGAGGTTCCTTCTCAAGAATTTGAGCTAAACTGCAATCTGGAAAAATCACAGAAAATTTATTGGTGATTTTAGTAAATTTTATGGATGACATCCTCCGCAGACTCCAAATCTAATGCGAGCGGGCAAAAAAAAACAAGACGGGTCGAAAAAAACAAGGTTTCGATTCAGTAGGAACATCACATATAGCCAATATCACATAACACTGCATCAAAGTAAAAAATAAAACATTAAATTAGAGCCTTTTCTTGTCTCTTCTCTGCCATCCACCTTCCGACATGGCAACAGACATCTTTGCCCATTTTTGGCATGTTGACCACTGTAAGAAGGCAACAAGATTTTTCGTTTTTTTTTTTCTGAAATCAGGCAAAAATTTGCGCACGCTGATGTCATCTATAAAAATTACTTGCTGTGGCCCAGTACAAACCATTGCTTTCAGACCTCATCAACTATTATTTCAGGTGGAAATTTGTATTTCATAAACATAATTCTCAGATGTAAAGTTCAAGATCATTCATACATGTACATGGAAATTGGTTACACGACAGATATTGTAAAAATGCATACAAAAGTTAACTTGAAAGGTAACAGTTGCAAAGAAAATGCATAATATTTATCTTTGCATATGGTCTTACTCTTGAAGACACGTGAATTTCATACATGTATATATGGTGACAGGAGTCTAAATCCCTCCTGCTACAAAATTGCAACATAACGTAACCGAATAGCAAGTTACCATGGTGACAGACAGTCTGGTTGACCAGTCAGTGTTTGGAACGGAAGAAGAAGAGAAAACTGAGCAAAAACTTCGGTCTGAACCGCCTTCCATGCGCATGTATGATGCATGTAACGTTACACATAATCGGAAATACCGGTACATTAAAGTACAAATAAAGTCACAAAAATACCTGCAATGGTTATAATTGCCTGCCTCTGTTATCCCTTGGTACAATCAGCCGTTCTTTGATGCTTTAAAACATCGACAGGTTCGAGAAAACTACGAAATAATCCTTACAAATTTTTACAAAGTTGCACGCTTCTTTTCACATGGTCGTCGCCATCTTGGGTGAATACATACCGAAAATAGGGGTGTTCAATACGTGCTAATATTCTTCCGTCTAAAAATCATAATAATCATAAATCTACCTAACGTTATAGTATAATTGTATAAAAGTACTTGAAAATCAATACTGCTCTACATCATTTGATGGAAATGATTATTATGTCTTATTCATATCTCTAGTCACGTCAAATTCTCGGATCCTATATGTATAATGGTTTCGACCGAAGGTTAAAGGTCAAACATCTGAGAGCATAATTTTGCTGACCCTATTTTCATCCTAACCCAAGAAGGTTAAAATTAAGAAGTTTGGACTGTCTTGAAGACACAGCAACATCATGATCAGAAGCTTGACTGTAAGTTCTACCTGTTAAGTGCCTTGGGGTTTGTATGTTTGCGTTTAGTAATACTTGATTGGTAGAAATTGTTGTTGAGGGGGAGGGCAGGTTTATACTGGCTTATGCAACCCTTATCTTATGGAAAGACAGCACAGTATACGGTCTACTATATTATTAGTAGGGATTAACAAAGGTTAAGGAACCCAAAGTGAAAAGGTTCAATAATTCAAAATTTATGATGCTTGCGGTTGATTTATTGCTGATATTACAAGCTTTTAAGTGTATAAATTATGTTTGAGTATAGGTTTGTTTTCTTAGGGTATAACTGTAACAGTTGGGGGTTTATAGGCACTACCAACTGACCCGGCCGACGGGTCTAGACCTTTTCAGCTGAGCGGTTAGAGCGTCTGGTTATGATTCGAACCCCGACCCGGAACCAGAAGGGTTTTTGCTGGCTCCACCTGTTTCTTACATTATGATTATCTCCAAATAAGTACATGTATTTATGTCATATCATCACCCTTGCCAAAGTGGTCTGCTATGCAGCATTACCCCCTGAAACATTCATCCTGCATTACAGCCAGTATAGTGCCTAATTTCACAGTAGATTATGACTGTCCAAGGCACCTCCCTCCACTGTCAACTCTGCAGTGCCTTGAACCAATTAGTTTGCCTTTCCCCTGCATTAATGCCCTCTGTCACAGTCTTTGGTTATGGTTGACCCTTACATTAGCACCAGGCTCAAGTAAGCACAATCCTCAACCATTTAGAACATCCTGTGTCAGCAACTGACGTCCCACCGCCTCTGAGCAGGCCTGACTGACCTAATTCAGTCTATAACCTGCCTGGCCTGAAACAGTCTGAAGTTTGTCCCCCTTTTACACAGGGTATATTTTCAGAAATTCTGTTGCAATTCCAACCTAAAAGAACATACATGAAGTTGCATTTAGGACTTCTTGTCATTATACTTCAACCACCAACACCGTACATGAACCACTATCCTCATACCAAATTTTAGGTCCTTTATTTGACCTAATATGAAGACACAGGAGCGAATAAGTTACAATATACTTTTTGGGACTATTTTTTTTACTAAAAAAGCTACATTGAATTATTTTAGGGCCTGCATCCAAACAATTAAACCAAGAATACCTGTGGAAGTATATTCCCAAGCTCTGTTAAAATTTCAAGACATTTGGTAAAAAAATGTGGTGCCTGGTAGCAAATGTCTAACAAGAAGTGGAGAGAGAGAACACAATGTAGGACCAAGACAGCTTAGAGCATTCTGCTCCCCCCATAGGTCACATGACCTCTGGGGGGAGCAGAATGTTCCCATACATGGTCACATGATAGATCAGACCATCCTTTGCAACTCCCCATAGCACATGTAGGAGGCTCTGTATGTATACAAATGCAGTCACTATCAGCCCAGGCCAACAGGTCCTGGACCTTTTGATTTAGTGGTTAAAAGACATTCAAAGAAAAGAAAAGACTCCTGTAGCTTGGTCAAAACAAGCCAAACTTGGAGATATGTATGATGCTGTGTTTCAGCTCAAAGAAAACAGATTATGTTTCAACTCCTAGAAGGCACATATGTTTTCAAAGAGCACAGGATTAATTTGGTGTGACCATCCCCACTGGCAAGCTGTCAGGCAGGCTGTCAGGGGTGGAGATCACATCAGGCAACAGCTTCTTCCCCACTCCAAAAGGCCCAGATGATTAATGATGATTAATGGTCATGGCATCAACCCAGCATTACTCCCAATGTTCAGTGGGAGCTAGTTTAATGCCGGGGTAACCCCAGAAGTGATCTGATAATGACCACGTAATGCGGCATTACAGCCGCACAACTGACCACTTTGGCAAGGGTGACATATAGCCAGAAGACGTCAACCAATCAGAAGGCTTCATTTCCCATCAGTCACCTCGAAAGTGGTCGTTTTTTTAGTTATAAGAATAACCAACCACTTTTTGGACCATTCCATTACTTGTATAGTTTTTATACAGTTACTGTAGTATTTTATCTATTAACCCTCTTAGCACACCATAAAATCTTTTAGGTACACTGTAAAATTCAGGGTTCAAGATGTAACTCATTATCAATGAGTACTTTTGGTTTTATTATTTTTAAACCATCCATGTCAAATCCCGTGGGCATTAGTTTGATCCCAGTGTTGGGTCAACTCAGCAGACCCATTGTGATGAGGGATTGCAGCTATTTCAGATGGTGGCATAAACAGTTGGAACCTTGTTTGAGAGACTCAGGTGCAAGCCTCAAGCACCAAACCCCTGCACATAAAAGAATAGCAAAGCCACACAAGAAATAGGGGCTGCACTTAGAGTCGCCTTGCTAGCTGGACATGGAGGCGATTAGCGATTAGTGTGAGCCCTGGGGCACATTTTTTTCTACCTCCATAGAGCTCCATGTATTTCACTGAATGCATGGCCATGGTTCATGTGCACATCACCTAGCCTTCAAGGAAAATTTAGATACCAGTGCGTGTTTTACGTCACCTTCAACTTTCAAGAAAACCTTCAGAATATAGGCTTGGTTTATTTGTATCTGTAAATTGTAAATCTTGGATGAGAGTATTCTGGTTTTACAACCCCATGCACTGTGATTCTGTGAATGATACACATACTAGTAGTGCAGCACTTCTGGCTTCTCGAACTGTTCTTACTGGCTCTGCGGAGGTGATTACAACCTCTCAAGCCACGTTGCAGTTAGTAGCTACTTGAAAAAGCATTATGCTTCACTGCAGTTATCAATTTTAACAGTCCTTCATCTTTTCTCTTTTATTTCCCAGAGGTTGCCGAGATGTCTGGTGGTCCTGTCCCCTGTACAGACATGTAGAGGCTTCCAGACTTCTGCTGACACCTTACGGCCGATGGTGCCTATAGTGGTGGAACAAACGGTAAGACTGACTAATTAAATAAACTTTAATTTGCTTTTATATTCAGGGCTCAAAAAAAAGTCTTTCCTGTATACCTGCACTCATGCAGGTAACACTGAAAGTTACTAACACTGGACAAATTTTACCTGTGCTAAAACTATAGTATAAGTACACTAGTAAACTAGTCAGAAACCATTGCCATTTAATGGCTATTGCCCCCGGGGAAGGAGACATCCTTCCGCGGAAGGAGACATCCCTCCGCGGAAGGAGACATCCTTCCGCGGAAGGAGACATCCTTCCGCGGAAGGGTTTTGTGAGAGATTTAGATTTTCATGTTCGCAGCTGTTTGTCTCCTTTGGGTGGGCGGATTCTTTTGAGACTCGGTATATGTTTTGCTATTGGGCTGCAGAAAATGCGCGTTCTTTTGTTTTTATTGTATATGTGTTTTCGGGCGTGAAAATTGTGCCTTTTGGTGGCCCCAGAACACCCCTTTGAGCGTGAAAATGGTCACAACCGTTGACCTTTGGCGTGTTTAAGGTATTTTCGGTCTAGTCCACAAAGATGACCTCTCGCACAGAGGGGTGTCCGGTCTCGATAAATTGTTTGTTTAAAACCTTAGTCCTGCGGCGTGCAACAATTGTTGTTGTGCACATGCATCTTCTGTATGCGAGGCGCAATAATATTGTTGTTTGGAGGGTATTTCAGTATGCGTACAAGACGTGTGATCGGCACTTCCGGGTGGCAAAGCTGCCAATGGGTCAGGGGTCAACGTCCTCTTGTGCAATCTTTGTTTTGGATGTTTTCGGCGTATATTACGACTTCTAACTTACAAATACCACAGTATACGGTCTCAGACATTCTCGACATGCATTTTACCGAGGATTCAGACCTTTACTTCCCCGATATATAAGAAAAATCAGCGGAATCAACTATACATAACAAACAACATGAGTATAAAAATATACAATAAAAAGGTATAAAATCTCAGATTTTACTTGTTTGTATATACTTCTTGTGTGGTAAAAACTCAATACAGAAAATGAAGCCCTGTCATTATTTTCAAAATCTGTTATTTTCCTCTGTGTCAAGCTCAGTTTATCACTTTTATTTGTTGTTGCTTAGCTCACTCACACACTTACTCACGGTTTATCGTCCGTTGTTCCCCGTCTTCCAAGGATTAGATGTGCTAATGCAAGTTGCATACATGCACATGTAGAAAAAGAAAAACAACCTATCTTTTGCACTTTTGTCGCTGTTTAGGGACGTGGAGAGAGAGCCTATGATATCTACTCACGTCTGCTGAAGGAGAGAATCATTTGTGTCATGGGCCCTGTGAGTAAACATTTTTCATCTATCATGGGAACTCTACGTATACGTGTAAGTCTATTGCTGTATTCTGTACTACATCTTTTAAATTTGAATGCATTTTAATCAAGTATGTATAGCTTGTTTAATTTTTCAATGACGATTTAATTTTTTGGTGTCTATCTCCACCTTAAATTAAAATAATTACACTACTGTGAATGTGTTTTGTGCTACAGAATGTACATTTGCTCATCTTCTCTGTCCTCCTCTTCTACATCTTCCTCCCCATCTTCCTCATCCTCTCCATCCTCCTCTTCTACATCTTCCTCCTCACCTTCCTCATCTTCTCCATCCTCCTCTTCTTCTTCTACAGCTTCCTCCCATCTTCCCCATCCTCTTTTTCTTCTACAGCTTCCTCCTCACCTTCCACAGCTTCCCCATCCTCCTCTTCTTCTACATCTTCCTCCCCATCTTTCTCATCTCCTCCATCCTCCTCTTCTTCTTCTACATATTCCTCCTCACCTTCCTCATCTTCCCCATCCCCCTCCTCTTCTCCTACGTATTCCTCCTCACCTTCCTTGTCTTCCACATTCTCCTCATCTTCATAGTCCTCTTCATCTTCCTCATCTTCCCCATCCTCCTCCTCTTCTACATATTCCTCCTCACCTTTCATTGTCTTCCACATTCTTCTCTTCTACATACCTTCCTCACCTTCCTCATAATCTTCCTCCCCATCTTCCTTATCTTCTCCATCCTCCTCTTCTTCTTCTACATCTTCCACCCATCTTTCTCATCTTCCCCATCCTCCTCTTCTTCTTCTACATCGTCCTCCCCATCTTCCTTATCTTATCCATCCTCTTCTTCTTCTACATCGTCCTCCCCATCTTCCTCATCTTCTCCATCCTCCTCTTCTACATCTTCCTCCTCACCTTCCTCATCTTCCCCATCCTCTTCTTCTTCTTCCATACATTCCTCCTCACCTTCCTTGTCTTCAAAATTCTCCTCTTCTTTTTCTACATCTTCCTCCCCAATCTTCCTCATCTTCCCCTTCTTATTCTACATCTTCCTTCTGAGAAAGACATCATCATCGTCATCATCATCGGTCGGCTGCAACGCAGGCGATCACAAGTCCATTCCACGACCGCCGGTCAGCAGCCAGCGCAGCAATGTTGTCAGGGCTCAGGTCACCTTCCGTGTCCCCCAGCATGTTCTGGATGTAAGTCAGGTAGCTCATCCTCTGGCGCCCAGGACGCCTTCTGCCGTGAGGTGGGACGTAGAGGGCGTAAGACCTGAGTGGCTCCTCTACTGGCATCCTCAGGGCATGTCCAATAAAGCGCAGTTGCCGCTGCCTCACTCTGAAGATCAGAGGTTGTGTGTTTGTGGCTTTGTATAGTTCACGGTTGCTTACGTGGTCTATACGTTTGATGTTCAGCATGATTCTGAGGCAAGATGTAGCAAATGAGTTAATCTTGTCCTCCATGTCACGTGTTAGCACCCAGGTTTCGCAACCGTACAAGAACACCGACACACAGGTTACATTAAAGAGCTTGATCTTTGTGGCAGTGGGGAACGTCGGATTTCTCCAGATCTTTTGAAGTTTCCAGAAAGCAGTCCAAGCGAGTGCCTTCCGCCTGGCCAGGTCGGTCTTACTGGATGCCATCATTGATCCTAGATATCTGAAGTCTGTTACATGTTTGATGGGCTGACCATACACTTCCAGTGGCGGCTGTGGGTTGCAGTTGATGGTCATGTATTCGGTCTTAGGAACACTTATGACAAGACCTAGTTGTTCTCCTGCAGTAGCCGTTCTATTGAGTTGTGATTGCGCCTTAGGTATTGATGCCTCAAGCAGAGCGATGTCGTCAGCGAAGTTTAGATCGTTTAAGATTTTGGCTGGGTGCCTACTTGACTGGCGAGGGTGTGTAACTACACCAGAGCAAGTATCCTCAATGGATTTCTTCATCAGATAGTCCACAAGTATGATGAACAGGAAGGGGGCAAGGACATCCCCTTGTAACACCCCTGTGGTGACTTGGAACGGTTTTGTAATGTTGCCATCCACCATAACAGCACTTTTTGAGTTGTTGTAGAGTACGCTAATGGCGTTGACGATAGTGACCGGAACACCATAGTGGCGAAGAACAGCAAACATAACATTCCTGTTGATGGAATCAAAGGCCTTTTTGAAGTCTATAAAAGTAACTAT